AGATAACCAGATCTTCAATGTTCCAGAGGTCCCCCGAGTCCTGGCAGAAGCCACTCTGACCACTCACCTCCTAGGAGTATTTCCCACAAGGACTGGACACAGATTGCTGACCTGTTCTACAGTCACTGGCTAGAAATAGCAGAACACCTGTACAGAATGCCTACAGGGGGAACTGAACAGCTTAAGATGTCCAAAGGTCTGAGTTTATGTGGTTAAAAAAACCCCAAAACAACAAAATGTCGAAATGCCTTTTGCTATCAAGACCATGACAGACAAATTACACATAAGAGAAAAAGCTCACAAGAAAAAGATTTAAAGATTTGAAGTAATTTCCTGGCAGAGATTAAACTCCCACTTCTTTTGAAATTAACACAACAGAGGAATGGAAAAATGTGGCTGAAAGACTAGAGAAAAGGATGTGAGGTTTAGTATCTCCCTACATCTAGCAGAGGTAATGGCTATCAGGAACATCACACTTCATTAACAGGAACATAGAATCCAGAGTCAAACAGAGGATCACTGTGAGAAGCCCTCCACCTGTCTCAGTCATTCACCTCAGAAATTCTAACCGAGGAACATGTGGGCAATTTTTTACCTTTATAACAAAATGGTACACTCCAGCTACTTAAACAACTATTTAGAAGTCCTCATAAGTCTTGAAGTTAAATAGGATTGTGGGTCCTAAGCAGAGATGGCTACAGTACTAAAGACTTATTTTTCTTGCATAAACAGAAAACAACACAAAATAAAACAATGTTCCAAATTCAATATCAAATAGTAGCACAGAAACTAATATTACAAAGTCACAGATTTTGAATATATTAATGAATTAAGTATGGATTTAAAGTGTTCTCATGTTACATTAAATATTTTATCTGAAGTAAATATAGCACTAAATGACAGCACTAAATGACAGCAATTCTGTGTCATGGCCATCTCTCACTTCCCTATTTTGTTTAAACTTGCAAAAGTTGAAAACAGGCAATAGATGCTGACCAGATATTAAATAACAGTTATAGAAAGATAAAACAATAAAAGTAACAGAGATTAAATACTATCCCATGGAGAATGTGTAATATCCCATAGCCCACAGTCACACATTTGTCAGGACAGCACCCAGGTTTATAATCATTAAATGTTGCTGAAGTGATATATATTTCCTGAGTAACTTTTCCTGTTCTTTCCATGACTACAAAAAATGGTTTGGCAAAACTTGATCTTCCCTATTGCAATAGTCTTCATTTTCTTTCACGTTCATACCAAAGACTTGTTTCTTCCAGGAAATACCAGGAGCAAGAAATAGTGAATGGAAACTTTTATCTAAATATCTCTGTATTATTGCTCCTTTTGACTTAGAAAACAGTGTATTTGGGAACACATAGTTGGCTACTTACGTTTCAGGGGAGTCCTTACTTGCCATTTCACAGGATAACACAGGCCAGATTTAAGAACACACCTTCCTAATTTTGTTGAAATACTATTTCCTATAACCTTGGAAGGAGCTTGGTTCACTAGATGTTGGGAAAATGAGGAATCAAAATGTAGCAGCAGTCCAACTGCTACTTCTCTTGTGTATTACCAAATCTGTGCACACCTTTTTCAATACACCCTGCAGTCCACAGACTGCTTTTGCTCTACAGCTCAATGCCTGTGAAACAAGCAGCACAACAGCTGTATTTAGAAACACAGATTATCTTGAGTTGGAAAGAAACCATAAGGCTCATCAGGTCCAACTCCCTGCTCCTCACAGGACTACCTAAAAATAAACTTAATGACCAGGAGTGCCATCCTGACACTCCTGAACTATGTTGGGTTTGTTGCTGTGACTGCTTCCCTGAAGAGGCTATTCAGCAACCAAGCACCCTTTCAGCAAAGAGCCCATGTTGCAAACAGAAAGATCCAGAAGCCTGCCTGGCTGGGGCCCACTGAAAGGAATGAAAAGCAGCAGTGACTGGGCATAGAACTCACACTGTCCTGTAGAAGAGGACATCCGTATGTGAAAGAAGGGGAGAATCATCCCAGGCTTCTGAGAACATACACTGATATTAGCAATGAAGAGCAGATAATCAGGGTTTCACAAAATGCTGCTGAGAAAAGAGGTCACATGGAAAGACTGAATGAGCAGCACTGTAGGAAACATCATTCCAATGCTTAAATGCTGCTATCTGCAATGTGGACCTGTGAGGTCTGCTGCTATTAGACAGCTTTGAAAGCTCGTTTCCCAGTGGCTTATACCTTGACCTCTTTTGCCTCAATTTTAGCTTAGCACATAAATGAATTTTTCCCTACTTCCTGCCTATGGAAGTTTAGATTCCTCTTTTGCCAAATTCCAAATTCCTTACTAATGACATTCGCCCTCAGCAGGAGCCATTGCACTCTTTCCACAAATAGTCCTGGTATTAGTCTCAATTCTATTCACATGTTTTCCTCCAAATCAGACAAAGCAACATATCCTCTGTTCTCCTCTCTTAAATAAATAATAATATCATCATCACCAACTCAGTTTACCTCATCTCAGCTTTTGTCTTGAGTAGAACACTTCTATCATAGGTCATCTCGTATCAAGAAACTGCATTCCTATCTCATTTATCTGGTGATTCCCTACTCTTTACTGATCTCTCCAGCACCTTTCAAATCAATAATCCATCCCTAATACTCCACTTTTCACCCAACCACACGCTTGATCCCACTGTTGTTTTTTCATCACCTAAACCATAGAGATTATACCAGGAAGATAATTAAACCGTCATTTATTCATTTTTTGAAATGTTCATTGAAGGATAAGAGTAAATGCCTTGTGGGGAAAACACAAAGGCAGTTTCCACTGCCTTTCAGTGTCCTGCAGGTGAAAGACTCCAGAAAAATGGTGATGCACATCACACTCATGTAACATGTTACTGCATCTATAGGTATGGCTATAAAAAACACCCAACAAAATCCAACCCCCAAAAACCTCTTTGCTTAAAATGAACACCATATTATTTTATTAAATAAGAATTAAAAACTTTTATCTTCTTCAAAATATTTTTAGTTTACAAGAATTAAATTTTGCTAAATAGAAATATATTACTAAATATACTACATTTAAACCTGCAATTTTAAAGTATATCTACCAAAAAAAAAGCCAGCTGTTACAAACCAGACTATTTCAAGGTGCTGTTATCAAGTTGAAAGCTGTTTTACATTATCAGCTTGTCTTCTCAACATAGTAAAGAAAAAGCTTTTTAGGATAAGATTGTTTCAGTGTAACACAATCTTCTACACTGTAACAGCAACTGAAGTTACCACTATTGATATTGCTATCAAGTTCTCATGTTCTCTTACACTGCATGTCATAACTTGTGCAATTGTCTTCTACCTATAGAAAAATAATGAAAAACAACACTACTGACACAGTATTACAGAACAAATTATCTGAACCAATCAGCTCACTGACTCTGTTCTGAACCACTTACAAATCTGTGACCTGCAATTTCTTTTTTAATAACAAAATTACTTCCAAGTAAGCAGGGACAGTGTTCAGTAACACTGCTTTGATTTTCAAAATGCTGCATTCCTTTGTCTCTACATATGTGAGGTAGGGTAGTATGGGAAACACAGCTAGCCAAATCAAACACCTTATGTTATCCCGCATGTTATCCATCCTTCAAAGAACCCGTATGTTAAAGTAATTCCACCATACTGCATCATTACTGAAATACTTATTTGCAGGGGTAGAAATCTGTATTTAGAGGCTTTCTTCCTTCTTATGTCAGTATGATGCTGCTGCTTGAAAAAGAATATACAACATACATCTTCATTATAGAAATGAAAGTGCTACTAAAAATCACATCATGACTGTACTGAGGTACTGAAAAAAATGCAAACATGAAACCTTTTCCTTACTGTACACGACCATGTTTATCATGCCCACACAAATACAGTGGCACTTGGGGACCACTGTAAAGAGATCATATCTTTTAAACAGCAGAATCTGATGAACTTTAAGGCAAATTGGGTGGAGGTTTTTTTGTCTATTTCTTTACCAATTGCCAACATTCATCTTCTTACTTTTCCATGATCAACAAAATAGCAGAAGCTGTACTGTATACAATGAAGAGGGGCATCATGAGGATGTGGGGCAAACCTACTGACACATCAGGAAGTTTGCTTGTCTGTGGAATAAAGTCACTTCACTCAGTGTTAGGACATTGTACCTAAATTAGTACGCATCTTTTGGAAAGGCAACATCCAACAAAGATGCAAAGACTGAAAGGGCAATCTGTGAGCATAACAGGAAAAAAGAATGCATGCAGATTCTTCTACTCCTCCTGATAAATGACTGGTCTTGGTCAAGTGAATTTTATCATTTTGGTCATTACATAACCATCAGAGTCACAGTATTGCCACCTAGAACTCATCTTAAGTCATGTGTGTTTGTAGACATGAGGCCTTGATCAAACACATACCTGAATGTCTCTCTTTAAAAAAAGTATTTGTAAAATATGTACTACACCTACTTGGATGAGGTAGAGATGTAACCATCTCTACACTATATATACATATATATATATATATATATATATATATTTAAATACAGGCAAGTTTGTAAAATTATTCCATCCACAAACTCAGAATTCTGCTTATCGCTGGTGTCCTGTTTTAAGATCCTCCTGTCCTGTGTGGACAACTGTGAGAATATCCAAACAACGTTCTTGGGTTTGCACTTGTGCAGGATGACTGCATTTCAGAATTAACCCCACAAAGTGATAGGGATAAGTATGAATGATAAGTAAACTTGCAGGATCCAAAACCTACTGGGTGTATTCACAAAAGCAGACTTGGATAATCTGTCAAAACCTACACACGCAAATAAAAGCAGCCAGAAAATGGCAGACACCCCTCTCATGTTTGGTGGTGCCTTTTCTAGACTATCAGATGACAAATGGTATGCCAGAATAATGTATTTAGGATTCAAGACTTAAGTTTTTTGCAAGTTACTCACAAACTGAGCATATTCATTTTTGGTTAAAATGTCTTTAATATTAGTATCTTTTAGTAAACTAATATTTTTGTTCACAGAGACCCAAATGTCAAAATAGCAAGTGTCAAAATATTTGAAAAAGTGTTCAAATTTTTCTAGAAAATAAAGTCAACTGGCAGAGTTAAGTATAGCTAATAGAGGATTCTGATTATCTGAGGTGGAACAGGTATAGTCACAGAAGAACTTCCAAACACTTTCATGTTTCCTTCCTATTAGTGGGTTAGCTAGCCCTGAATACTCAGTATCGCAGTCTGTGACACGTAAAAAACCACCATGCTTCTGGAATCAGTGAAATATTTTTAAATACTAGTATGAAGATTACAATTCCTGTTTAGATTTTGCACATGAACTACAGATCACTGAAAGTTTCCTGTTGCACTGCAGCAAAAAAAGGAAATGTAACAAAGGCTTTATTTGCTGCAAAGTACAGCAAGATACTTTGGTAATCTCACAAAAATGTCATACTGGAACTTGTTACAGTGAGTTCAATTTGATCTTTTAATGTAATACAGTACATTTTTATAAACTTAACATTATCATTGCAGAAGAACATGCTAACTGAATGTTAGCAATTTATCTTTTATACATAATTATAATCTACTGTCGCTACTGTATGCAGATCTCAAAATGTTAGTACATAAAATATTCATTTTCTTTATATGAGATGAGAATGAACTTAGAAGAGGTTTGAATATAAGAACGACATATTTGCTGTGCCTATTTCTCAAGAAATAATGATTTACGCATTATTACCCAAGAAATCAACATTTAAATTGCAAAACTATAGTTTAAATTTACAATAAACATTATGATCAGTAATGGTGCATCAATATGCCATGAAGTTTAACCTAACCATGTTTATGCACATAAAGCCTCAAGAGTCTGCAGCAGTTTCAGCATTACTTTTTCATATTTTTGTATAAAATTGACTTAAAGGTACATCTTCCATAAATGTTTTCAGTGCAATTCTGTCAAAGAGGAAAATACAAAGCTATCTTTCAATCATTTTATACCAGAAAAAAATCCTCAACAACTTGCATTTGCACTGCTGAAGCATAAGTAAGCCAGTTCCATTGTGCCAACTATTTCAAAGTCAATTCACATCAACCATAATTGCCTTTCTAGTCAGCATTTCCCCCATATCTATAGGTATAAATGTTGAAAAGCTGAATACTGGAAGAGGGGAAAAGTTAAGATGAGGCAGAATAATCTAAATATTTATAATACTTCTTCCTAGTGGTACCAAAAAAAAAATGAATAATGAAAAAATTCTAAAGGGTTGCTTGTTTTATTAGTGATCTTACAGTTTGGAAATTGGTGAATTTGTGGTTTAGTATTATCTTTTTCTATAATCTTCACAGACAACCTTGCAACAATAATTTATTTATTGATGGATTATGTGAAAACGTTTCATTATTCAATGAAATAAAATTTTCTTAGGTTAGAAATTTATTTTTCATGTGTTGTCAACTGTAAGGAACCAGAGGGAGAACAGCACCTGAAATTATGATGTGTGCTTGGCTAAGCAGAGTAGAGTAATTTATATATTTTGGTTCAAAGACAGTTTGTAAACTGTTAAACTGTATACAGGATACTGCTCTATGTATTTTGTTTCTTTTGTTGGCTTTTTTTTTTTGCAGATTACAGCTAAAAAAAAACCCCACAAAAACCCCAAAACAAAACAAAAAACACAAAAAAAAAAAAAAACCAAAACCAACACAAACCAACCTCTCTGTATTGTAGCACAGAATAAAAATGGAGCTTCATTCAAATCTTGAATGCTTTGACCGTAATTGACAGCTGGTTATTCAACAAAAAACTTAGCTCTTCATACCAAAAAAAATTGGCTCAAAAAACAAAAACAAAACAGAAAGGTACAATAAACTCTCAATAAAGGGATCTCTCATGAGGCAACCTACCATATACTACTGCTAGAGACGAGTTTCAAAAAAAACATTACATCCCATTTTCAGCACATTTTTCATAAACATGCAACTTCACTATAAAATACAAAACACTTGGCTCTCAAGAACAGCTTTATAAAGACACACTGCATCAATAAAATTTCTCTTTGTGATTAACTTTACATTGTAATAAGAACTGTATTTTCACTAATGTTTATATATCAGATTTCATATTATAATGTAGTAATAATTTGCTCTTTGTGAACATCACGTTCAGAAGGAAATATCTATACACATTAACATACTAGACTATTAAAAACTCAGTTACAGAATTTTATTGATACAGTAGATTAATAAAAACTGATAGGAGAAGATAAAATGGGAAGGGTACTCAGTACATTATTTAATAACACACTTTTAAAATTAAAATATTTTAAATCCTTTTTGAATTATCAATGCCACTACAAGTCCAGAAAAGTCTGGCATCAATACTGAGGTGTAAAACAAAACTTCTTTCAAAATTTGCATCTCTTGTATTATTCTATCCAATATTGTTCAACTGTAAAAGAAAGTAATTTAGCACCTCTCATGATAGGTAGGTGCCTGAAGGTAAACACTAGGTTATATTCATGAAGGAAACAAAGACTATTTTTCTTCTTCTTCTTCTCCTTGACAAATAGTGGCACTATTTGTTCAACTGACTTGTTTTTCACAGTTAAATGTCAACAAGAGTACAAATACGAACACTGACAGATATTGCTTGAGATCAATTTTCAACAAACTCTGTTCTTTTTTTAAATCAATCGATCCAATAAACAGTGGGATACTGTCAGTTTAAAGCCGCAGATAAAAGCTATACAAGCACTTTATAAGTCAGAAACATTTAAAAAAGAACTATTTACAGTTTTCTTCTTTAGTTCGTATGTCTACAAAGCCAGTGCACATTACACTTCACAAAAATCCACAGTTAATGATATCAACATGTGTGTGGCTAAAGCTTGTGACCTAGAGACGGCAAATGCAGGGGCAGTAAAATAGGTTTTGTCTTTTCTTCAGCAACCCCATTTGTGCACTAACAGCTTCATTCAGTCTCAAGCTTTACATTAAAAGCATTCTTCAAAGCTTTCACCTGGAAGGTTGGTAACTACATGCTCACTCATCGTCTTTCCCTTTTGGAAGTTCTGCGACGGACCTATTTGGAGAAAAGATATTTTAAATGTTTTTACAGAACAATTTTGAAAAATTCAAGAACAAATACATTTTATAATGGAGAAAATGCTCAGGCTCACTCAATAAAGTTTGAGTACCCATATACAGTGCCATTCATTACTCATTTTGTCACAAGTAGAAGTCTCAGTTAATGGACCTAATTTCATGTGATGTTACTGAGCCTGCATCCTTAATGGAATTCACAACAGTGCAGTTTCCTTTCTCAGAGTTTTCATACCCTCAGATGCTCCAACCATCAGATGTATCCAAAGGGGTGAAGGCATTCTCAGTTTTAGTGTGACTACTAACATTGCCAATGTATTTGTTTGAAAGAAATATAAAAGTGAAATAATTTTAACATATGCTGCTAAGAGGAAGAGATCAGTTTAGGATTCTGTTCCAAGACTCCATGCTTATTTCCCAGTACTATTAATTTTGTGCATCTGTTTTGTATAAAGAAGCTTTATTCATTATTAAAATCTAGATGAGAAGACTGGCAGGAGTCACCTGGAAAATAATTCCTGTTAGATGCTACACAATTCTGCCATATAGAGAAGAAAGGCTACACAGGACAGAAACTTCAAGATACTTGACAAAAAGTGATATTTTCTAAGAAATGCAGCTTTTCTAGGAAATTACACTGCAGCTCCACTACACAACAGTGGCAGCTGACAACCACTCCATTCATTTTAAAGGAGGAAGGTTAAGTTCTCAAAAACAGGGAGAAGCCGTTCTAAAAACAGAGGTCATTGTCTGAATATCAATATGCATAGCAAACCACAAATAAAAGCTCATGCATTTCTCTTACACTGATTGTGGAAACTTCTTCTTCTTCCATTACTTCTTCCTGGGGAATATCATCACTGACAGGTGAACCACTCTGAAACACGTCCATCTCTTCACTGGATTCATTTTCTTTACTGGCTGCTTGTTTAGAACGCCCCGCACGGCTAAAATAAGAAGAAAAATAAAGATCAGCTTCACAGTACTTGTACATCTACAGTATGTATATGCAAACTGTATCAGCAAACATTCCAGTTCACAAAAACAGCAGCCTTACCGTTACATGTTATATAATGTATAATGCTGCTGTCTTTTACACATGTCTAGTTCATCCATGCACAGAACTGAAGTGAAACTAGGAGGTCGGACAACACCATTTGAGAACAAAATTGTTCCATGATAGAGAGCCAGGAGCACAAAGTTGAACAATTTTGCCTCTATAGATGTAGCAGATTTTTCTCTTCAGTGCTATGATACAGGCCAAAATAGGTTGACACGACACTAACCAGTGAACAGGAAAAGCCAGTCAGAGACTGAATATTGTTTTGTTAGTTTTCTCTTTATTCAATTCCATGAACAGATGTACTCTACTTCTCCAGGACTTCTTACACAACAAATTTGAGTAACTGCAACTATGTTTTTTCAGACCTAGAAAAACCTATATTACTACTCATGAAATTAACACCCTAAACATAAATCTTCCAAGCTATCTTAGGGATAACCAGTGTAACAATACCTTAATCAGGGTAATCAAGAACAATCAGTCAACAATATCTTAAACTGTCTGTGTTGGTTATGGGATTTGTGCCACAACCAGAAAGCACCCATCTGCTTAAAACGAGAATTAGCCAACACCCCTTGCCTTTAAAAAAAAGCCAACTATAGATGTATTCAAAATTCCAGAGCTGCACCCACACTACAGTAGCACAGTTCAGAATCAAATCACTGAATCATCCCATTTACTGCAGGTGCAGCCTTGGTGCACCCAAAATTGGTGACGTTTTGGTTGAAATTAAACCGGAAACTCAGTTCCAGGCACACAACAGACACACTTCAATCTCCAGTGGGAGCACAGATCCAAAACAGTCATACTCTGATGCCATCAGATCATGAAAGTGGTAGGAATTTTCAATCCTGAGAACAACTAAAATTCAGACAAAATAAAATCTCTCAATTGCACAGCAATTATAGTATTTTTGAACCAACCAACATGCCATCCCTTGACACAAATTAGCCCAACTCAAGTCTTCCAAGACCAGTAGAAGCAACAGAAAATGAAACGGAAGCAGAAGAATTATTCACAAGCTAGGTTCTTCCTTTCACATATCACAAAAATAAGCCTGTTCACATATGCTAATTGGTAACCCAATTTGCTATCAGAAATAGGTTATACACTACCATCCATAGGATACATTATCACCTCATAAGCAAAGTCCCAAATTCTTATGCCAAATCTATTCCCAGGGAACCCAGAAAGCTTTAAGCACTTGGTATAAATATATTTATCTTATGGTACACAATGCTGGCTCAGTCTGTCAATTTCCTTCAGTGTAAACTGCTGTAGATGAGGGAGAAAGGCTTGACTATAGTGCACTTTGAAGACTGAGAAATAGCTACTGTCTCACCTTTTTCTTGCAGATATGGAAAAAGAACAGTCAAACTGTGGATGGTCTGACAAAACACACAACACAACCCTCTTTTTTTTTTTATAAAAATCTAGAATAGATCCAACAACTTTGAACCCTGACAGCTGACAACATACATACACATGAATGACAGCTATGCTTGTTACTGATTGTGGGTAGTGATATAGTTTAATGTCAGCTTAAAATGGAGTAAAGAAACATACTAACTTCACCGAGAAAAGTTACTTAAATATTCAGTAAAAGGCATGTTTGACAAACATCACATAGCACATCACCCAGCAATAACTTGGTTTGTCTTCCCTGCATGGCAGTAGCAGTTTCCAACTCTTGTTCTACTGCAAGTGTAGTAGTGACTTCTGGAGTAACCAACCAGTGTTGGTCCTGTGTTTCTGGTTACAGAGTAAAGGAGAAGCAGAGGTCTGACCTGAGGCAGGGAAACTGGAAAGGTCAGGATGTTGTGCATGCAATATGCCAGATCATGTGATCCGGAGTGAGGCCAGAATTTGAAATGAGGGTACAAGCTTGTTCGGGCAAGGTTCTCCTGTAGGGAAGAGCCCTGGTTTAAGGCAAGTCAGTACACCACACTGCCAGAGGAAGAGCAATGTGATGCAAACTAAGCCCAGAAGCTACAAAGACAACAGAGATATACAACAGTGTCAGACATTAGATGTCCCCAAGTAGAGCCCCAAGGAATTTATACCAGGCTCTAGAAAAGTAAATATTCTCCATGAGCTGCAATTTGATACAAGTAGTCAAATTACCCCTTGTGCACCTCTGCTTACATATATTATCTATACATGTACAGAAAAGGTACAGATACCTGTATTTGCCAACAGCAGGCATAAAAAAATGAAGCTAGCCAATGACAAGTTTACCTTTGTTTAATGAACTTAGTGCAGTTCAGAATTTTCAGAAGCTACTACCCTTCACTGATCACAACACATCTTTTGCACATGAAAATTATTTAAGTGGATAGTAAAAAGGCCACAAATTAGAAAGTGAATATTAAGGAGAATCAGAATAAACTTAATTCTCCACAATTCTGTTTCACCAGAGTAACAATTTGATTCTTCCCCACTATCCAAAACAAACAAGGCCACTTTCCTCTCCTTCAAGTCCTAATAAAGTCCTGTCTTCAAGGCCTTTGTATGCTTTATTGACTTTTCTCCTAAAAAAGCAAAGCTACATACATGCTACCTGAGCACATTAAAATTACTTACAGCTTCTTGCTCTGTTGTGAGATGCCCTAGGAGAAGCAGCTAAGGAAAACATTTTAGAAATAACGATAGCAATTTATTTTCTTAACTGTCAACGACAGCATTCTGAAATATTTTCAGTAAAGGTTTGCTTGGGGATACAGAGGCATTATTTAATTTTCACTAAACACATATTTAGAAGACTTACACTTTTTTTGCTGTGCTGGTGGTGTTTGTGATGACCTTCCTCGTCTTTTCTGTGGCGTAGACTGTGCTGATTCGACTGTACTAGTTTCAGATGGTTCTGCTCTGTTTTGAGGAAGACCCAAATTGCAAAGCATCAAATTATAACTAATGTCCAAAGATAAAATCCACACAGCTTACAAGAAGATGGACTTACCTCTGCTGTGTTCTTTTTGATGTCCTATTTTGCCTGCCTTTTGGTTTTTGCTCAATGTTTTCAGTTTGCCTTTCTTCCTCCTCCTCCTCCTCTTCCACTGCGGCTGCTGGTGGTTGTTTTTTTTTGCTCCTTTTTGATGACTTTGCCACTGGTTCTTCCTTTGGTGTTGCCCCATTATTTGTTCTGGTAGGGCGTCCTCTTCTCCCTTTCTTTGGTGGACTGTTCTGTTCATCCTCACTTTCTATCACATCTTCTTTTAGCCTTTTTTCCTCTTGCCATTGTGTTTCATCAGCTTCTGATACAACTGCAGGTCTCTTCCTTCCCCGTTGACTACCTCTAAGCTTCTGCTCTTGACCCAGTTTATTCAGGTCATCTATGCTTAGCTTTTCTTCTGAATCTGTGATAGTGGCTTTCTTCCTTCCTCTAGGCTTCTCCATCTCTGACTGAAAAGGCAAGATTGCACCATTAAATTAAAAAATTAAACTGCCACATAAACAGTCACATGTAGAAGCTTCCTCCAACAAGACAGAGTCTTCAAATTATACAAGTTGTCTCAGATTGTTTACCATATTCATTTCAAAAACATTTACAAAAATATAAAACACACACCTACATATAAAATACCAGACAATGGGGAAAGATTATGTGAAAGGTGAGTAGTTAAAACCCTGAAGTATGTAATGCCTTCCTTATTTGTATCTTCTCCTGTGTCCAACACAGTAGGACAGAACATCCATAACTGCATTTCTATCAACAGGAAAATATAAAGACAGAAAATGGGAATTGCCAACTTGTGCCTTCAGCTCTTCTTGTGAGCTGCAAGGTGCTTATGCCTGCCTCCTATGCTGGCACTAGGAAGGCACTAATACAGAAGACAGTGGGCAACATGACTTTACAACTGTAGAAGAAAGCACAGGAATTAGTGGTAGCTGCCAAGTCACTATCGTCAGAGCTGTACCAACACTTGCTCTGAGCAGCAAAACAACCCACCCAAGCCTTAAAACAAACATTTTGGGTCAGAAGATCATCTAATTCCAACTACCCTGCCATGGGGCAAGGGACACCTTTCACTAGACCAGGTTGCTCAAAACCCCATCCAACCTGGCCCTGAACATCTCCAATGATGGGGCATCCACAACTCATCTGGGCAACACTGCACCAGTGTCCCACAACCCTCACTGTAAACAATCCCTTTCTTACATGCAATCTAAACCTCACCTCTTTCAGTTTAAGACTGCTGCCCCTTGTCCCACTACTCTCAGACTTTAGGGTTTACAGAAGTGGGTTGTTTTTTTTTTTTTGACAAGAGATTCCAGATTTTTCTTATTTAGTTATTAACTGGTTTACTTTTCCCACAGTATAAGACAGTTATTTATACATCAAGACAAGCAAAAATTCAGGATTTTTTACTACTCAGTAGCTTATGTCCCAAGCAACCTACTAAAATGCACCAAAATGACATAAGGAGAGAAAAGAGAAATGTCAGAGACAGTAAAAAGAAATAAAACAGCAGTGACATCAGATACGGGACATCTTTAACGCACCCTAAAAAATCCAATTCTAGCAAATCTGATCGTATTACTTTCTCATGCATATCCCAAATACTACAAATTTTGCAGACTGTCAACTGCTATTAAGGCACAAATAAGTGAAACTTACTAGTGGTAAGGGAAATACGTATTATTTTATTTGATCTGATTTTAGAATTACAATACAAATATAATTTTCTTCTGTGGTTTATTTTTCTGTATTTTGATACAGGTATAAATACTGCTTAAGGTAATATTTAGCCTGCTTATACCTTCTTTTACATATTAAAGCACTATGTCTGAGTGAGATGTTTTACATCCTCATTAGGAACCTTTCTTATTAGTGAACTACATATAAATATATCTATATCTATATATATATATATCCATTAGTAAGAATTAGTAAGGACACTACCACTCTCCAAGCCTCTGTAACCTCAGGGACATGATTTTGTGCTGGACTTCACTCTTCCAAGTAAATGGGTGGACCTGATGACGTTTAAATGACTTTTGAAACCTATATAATTCTCTGAGAAACAGAACCTTTTTTTATTTGTATTTTCATATCCAACTCTAAACACATTGTCCAGTAGTTTAAAACACCAGCTCAGTTTCATGTTTCAACATATTTTTTTGAATGATCTCAAATATCATCACATTAATTTTTAACATCTCACCCTTACAAGATCAGAGTCGTCCCTTTTGTCAGTTTTCTTTCCTGGTAAGGGTGAAGTCAGTGTGAATTCTTCATTTTCACTATGGTCCATTTCAGTACTGTCAAGCCTAGGATGAATAAACATATATTTCCTTCATTATTATAATACATTGGGCAATCATTAAAAAAATACTAAGGACAACAATTTTTATTTAAAAAAATCTATTAGTAAACCAAGAACAATTTGGCAGAAGGAGCCTTTCACTGTGGGTACTATAGATATCAGTTATCACAAGCCACATCATCTAAGTCTCAAGACAAATGTTTGGATCAAAACCAAATTCTATTTGCTTTTTTCACTGGGAAAGATAAGTAGCCTTTTTCAACAGAAGAGTGTGAGTTGCAAGAGATCTGTGTTTGCATACAATTGCCTACACTTTCCTACAGCCATCAAAGATCCCCAGACAGACCAGTCAAAGCATGCATACCTCCCTATGGTGAGGTTTAGGCAATAAAACAGCAATTCAAACTTCCCTCTGATTTTTGCAGCAGCAATTTCATTTTTATTTCAGTTTCTACAAATGTAAGCATGGACAATAATGCCTCCTGCATATGTAAAACATTGAGACCCACAGATAAAAGGCAACGCACAAAAGCCAATACACAAGTAATTTCATTTCATCTGCAGAAGCAAGACTTTTAAATACCAGTGCACGTTTTGTAATGAAAAGAAATATGCTATGTGTGGAAATGAAAAGTGGTATTCAAACACACAAACTCAACTCCCTGGCCTGGGCACTGCATAGTGAGTGAAAGATGTTCTTTCACTCCTACAGATGTACAATCTATATTAACTGGGATGTAATGGGAAGCTTAGGTTTTATACATTCTGTCAAAAAATGCAAATCTGACTGTACATATTCAGACAGACTAAACTGGAAATATTGTGCATCCTGAATCCTTCCCATCTCTTCATCTTTGATATCATCACTCAAAACACTAATCCCTTAAACTTAAGTGAACTGGAGAGATTGTGAAGATGATAGAACATGTTAGACTGTGTGTGCAGCATTTTTTAAAATCTGATCTCAGATTCGTTTTGCTGGATATAGAGAAGAATCTGGAGTCCACCTGTCATTAGTCAGTAATACAGTGCAGCATGTGAACCTGAATGACTTGTAAGAAATAAGCTTTTCTGCAGACTTTCTAATAGAGAAATATTTCTTGTAAAATACTTCACTACATTTAAAACTACTATTATATATTGAATAGTCACAGAAGTACCAAATGAGAAGTCTTAAATCCAAACATAACATTTCCTAATAGTCTTGAAAGAATGTGAAACAGTAGAAAGAATACAAATAGTGGAGGCCATACAATCACTCACTATCTGTGGGAAGAAAAATAGTGATAGTGTGACTTTCAGTTAAAAGAAAAAAATGAACATAAGATACATAAACTGATGAATAACCTACAAAACTGACACCAAAAAAAAAAGCTATCATTTTAAAGATAGATAACTAGAAGATGACTTAAGTAGCATTAACAGTGCACTCAACTTTTCATCACAAAACTAACCTAAAATCCAAAAATATTTGTCTGCAAAGTCTAGCAAAGACTCGAGGAGGAAGTCATGCAGGACCACTACAATGGTGTACCAGTTGTCCCTGGGTGGGATGTGCTTGTAGCATTACAGTCAAGTTCTCAGGGACTGCAGCTGTGTGTATACACACACACACATATACACATGTACATATTTATGTGTCAGGGGGATATATCTATCTACCTAAAATACACTCCACATACCCCAACCCTGCCCTCAAAAAATTTAAAACATATGAGGCTTTCCTTTTCTCCTTCAGCTAATTCTGGATGTAATTTGATTCTGGGACTTTTTTGTTTTTGTTGGTATTGGGTGGAGTTTTTTTGTGGTGTTTGTTTTGTTTTTCGTTCTTGCTTGTTTTTGGAGGTTTTCATTTGTTTTCCGTTGTTTTGGTTTTGGATTTTTAAAAAAAAATCTATTTCTGGAGTTAGAAAGCCATATTCATGATTTAAGTTATACCAATGTGGTACTGTAACTTTACTTCAATGTAGGATAAAAGAATTCTGTCTTTTACTTAGAAAACCTAATAGAAGTATTCACAGTTTCCATTACAAATATTTGAAATATCAAAGATCCTTTGTTGTCTACCAACCTCCCTTTGATCCTTCCCGGAGAGCTTGGATTTGAACTGCTGCTGGCATTGCTTACAGTTTCCATTCGTGAAGATTTGGATTGAGACTGCTTGCCTGCTGACGAAAGAGGCTTATTAACTGCTCCAAGAACATTGGCTGCTTTGGGCTGAAACCAAAAATATATTTCCTTTATTTTAAGCTACACATTCAGATATTGTTAACATGTACTATGCTTAAAATATTCACAGATTTCACTTTCTGCAATCATTATCTTAATTTTAACACAAAGTGATGAACTTATTCATATGAAGGCTACAACAGACACCAGAAGGAAGCTGAAGAAGTTGCAATCAAATAATTAGCTGCCACCAAAGCTGGTATTCTTCTCTCTAACCTTATATTCTGTCCTCTTCCCATTGGTAGTGTGTGTGCTCACCAGACCATGCAGTCAGGCACTGCATCACTTTCTGTGCCATTTGCTTTCTGCTGATTTATCTACCCGAACCAGCTCCCCATCTGCATCAGAATAGCACCTGGCCCAGTGAAGCACAAATAGCAGCACAACGGCCTTTTCTGCAAAGGAGACATTACTGGCAACCACATTAGTTTCAACTGGGAATAAATGAGAATCTCAAAAAAAGCCAAATACTGTGGAGAAAATTCTGATATTTTTTGCACAGATTTAAAAATGCTAGGCTTTTAATAAATGCCACAATTTCCAGACACTGGTGAGCTTCAGGTTATGAATTTAACTGTATTATCTTTCAGACCTGCCAAACGCCTCCAGCTCATAACTTTTGAGAGACTTGAAAGAGTTCAATTACTCCTAAAGAGAATGCCAAACACCCATGTACAAAATTTTTGAAGACCATTCCCTGCATTTCTCATTATCCATCTTCTCCTTCAATACTAGATTCTAGCTATGTCTGCAGTTAGTGACAGCTACAAAAAGTTCAACATGCACATCATATCAACCTTGGGTGTTTCTTTTTTCAGAGCTATGGACCATGGAAGTTCTGCTTATACTGTTATAGCCAGAGGGAATTTTGCATTTACAAAGACTCATTCTGCACTGAGCACAAAAAAAAAAAAAAAAAAAAAAAAAAAAAAAAAAAAAAGCATATGCCTTCCAAAAATAAACCTTGGAGAACTAAATCCAGCTTAACAATTTACATCTATTAGTTTAGAACGAAATGTTAATCATTGTATGCTGAAGGAGCTCAAAAGCAAAGAGATTTTCAAATTCACAGTGAACTGGACTTCCCGCTGAGGAGGGACTAAGAGGGCCTGCACAAAGCACTCCTCCCTTTCACAGAATCTACACTCAAAGCCTTCCTGCCCTCAGTGTTATCTACTTACATCCACTCCACTAACATTCACTAAAGCCAGTCTTCCACTCATAAAAATAAGACTCCCCAGACAACTTTCATTTTGTGGTCCTCTCATGATGGTGAAGAAACTGAAAATTTTGGCGGTCAAATACACCTCTCCTGCTTGTTACAAAGTTTCAAAACAACACAAGAAGAGCTAGAGTGCCTAGAATTTCTAGGCAGTAGAAATTTAAAATAATATAAAAATTGACAGAGGATTCAAAAGCATTTTAATTATGATCTATTCCAATCCATAAACGCTGACTTTGAATTTCTCAAAGAGAAATCTGCTTCTTTTCCTAGCTTGCACTCCTCCTTTATTATTAAGTTACTAGCTGACAGCTCATGCTTCATTAGCAAAGTTAAGGGTAATGAAGATTTCTTTGTTTCACAACATAACAGATTAATGTTCTTTGCCATCTAGAACAGGATGCATTAATCCAGATGAAAACCATGGTTTGTCACTTCCTTTACCAGACATTAATTTTATCCTAAAGAGTACTTGGGTTTAGTTTTAGTGAAGAAAAAACACTGCCATTCAATAGAATGCATATTCTGAAGGAACAAATTAACAAAACTATAGAACAGTCAGTTATCTTGTAAGGTACTGTAAAATTGAATTCAGCTTTGCCAAAGATTAATGATGTGATTTTTAAAATTATTTCTGCTAGAGTTTTCCATAGCTGCCACTTTGTATGCAACACTGTAGTCTTCTGCAGTCTGAAAAGGTTAACCATTTTGTAAACTTGACAAATACTATGGGTTATATTGGAATGGTTTTGGATCCTCTCCTTCTAAAGGCAACAGGCTTTGCCTATTGTTGCCACCACCCAGTACAGACAGCAGCAGGTTTCCTTTCACCCATCTCTTTCTCTATACCTAGAAACAATCTTAAACGTAGTTTAAGATTTCATTACTTACATGCTAGTTTTCTTTAAAAAACAAAACAACAACCAAAAAACCCACAAATAAGCAAACAAAACCATCACTCCAAAAACAAAGACAAACCAGAACACAAACACAGCATCAAACCTCAACTCCCCAGCATGCCTACCTTTCCAGGTGTGAAAAAAGACTTCATTTCTGGAGGAAGATAATTTTTTGTGTTACTGAAATTCTGTAAAAAAAGGGGGTGGGGGCAATTATAGCAAAAATCAGTGAACAAGAGATAAATATAGATACATTCTAGAGATTACAGTGAAAGATTTTATTTACATCATTTATGCTTTTGAATTTTTAAAATACATCAGTAATATGGGAGATGGGGGAAGAGAAATTGGTGTGCACACGTATATATATTTAAGACAACATATCCAGACATGCATTTTCAACTACAATGTAAGAGCAGGAAGTCTGAAGTTACAAGAAATATGTAAGAAAAACAACCATGAATTACAACTAATAAATATTTAAACAGACTTATCTCAAGAAAAATTAAATGCCAAAATATACCTTGTCAGGTTGAGTAAAATATCTGGCTGGAAGTACAGGGTCTTTAGGGGATTCCAAACTGTATGTTGTACTCTTTGACATAATGATATTCATTGCTACATCACAGACTGTATATAGTTTCTGTAAATAATAAAATTTAAAAAACGTTCATTGAAAATCTCGACAAAAGACAGTGTATCTTCCGTGTACTGGACCACAAGAAATCACAGTTTAAAATCAATCACCTTAAACATTTAACACTAGACTGCATCTTAAACAGTGTCTCAGGATACTGAAATAAAGATGGTAAAAGCAAAAGTATTGCAAGTCTAACAGTTGAAGACAGATGGTTTTCATGGTCTTTCTGCACTTAAGAGTAGTGTTTGCCATACAACAAGTTTCTAAGACAAAGTTAATCAAATGAGCAAATACATCCCACCCATCCACTACCCAAAACACATTTCTGTGGGAAAAGCAGAAAAGGGACATATCTGGATATGATGTGATGCTAAAAACAAACAAACAAAACAAAACAAAAAAAACAAACAAACAAAAAAAAAGTTTGATACATACACTACACAATACCAGAGATTTCGAATGTATTTTTTTCCTCTATTAAATTTACTCTTGCACTTCACAAATTAAATATTAAAAAGCACTTTAATGGATGATTTAAACAGTAAATTTTATAGTTTCTATGTCTCTGAAGTTAGTGTTTAGTAATCTTACTGAGATAGAAACAGAAGAACTGAAAACTATTATGATTCCCTTGCAAATGTGAAAGAATTACTGAAGCATAGGAAAATAACTGCCATCTAAACTAAAATAAATATAATCATTGCAGTACATAAAATATCTTTTATACATACAATTCTATTGAAAGACATTTTGAAGTTGGTGTATAAGACAAAAGCAACTCCTTTACATTAGCTGGCCAGAATTAAATGCAATTTCCAATCAAAAAGTATCACCTACTTCATTCATTTTTTGATCATCTGGTCCTTGAGCATCCTTAGTCTGTTTGATATTTTCTACCATTTTTCTGATAAAGGCATGACTGTTGTTTTCATTTTTAGCCATTAATATTTCCAGTATGAACCACAGGCATCTACAGGAGAAATACAGTATCTCACATGAACCAAAGTACAAAAGAAATTCCTTTAAAAAGCACAATTGAGAACATGATTAAGTCCAGCCTTTACTAGTATTATGAATTTGAACCAGTCTAACTCTGAGAAAACAGTTCTTTTGGAATAATGAAATTAAGATCAGCAGAAGGTGAAGGGTTCGTTTATAAAGTATCACATAGCACTAAAAAAGTACCTATAGGATTTCTCTCAATATTTTACAGAAGTAACTGGCATCATTATGCACACTGGACTGTGTAACAGGGTACCACAATGAATTAAAAGTCCACTTAGAATAAAGTTAGAAATAACACTATTAAAAGTGGTCTTACTCTTTAATGTCCTTGAGTTGTTCAATGTCCTGGACTTTTACATAATCTGGGTCATGAGCTAGAAGATGGATAGTATAAGGAACAACATACTCTGGTAGAAGTGACAACAGTTTCTCTGAAAAGCAGAAGAAAGATACATCAGAAAAACTACATACCAAGAAGTATGCTTTTCTACCAAAGAGGAGAGGGCAAATTTTGAGGTCAGTATACATTAAGGTATAAACACATGTGGGCCTATCATTTCTCTACAATATTTAATTTCATGGGTGATGTGCACATGTTTCATGCATGCAACAATTAAGATTTTAAGTATCTCTTGCTCAGGGCTGCTTGTTTTCTAGCTACCTAGAGATACAGTTCCAGTTACCTCCTACTCCCAATCCTTTCCTCAGTTCAAAGCCTGTATTCTGAAGGACTTTGAAAAACAGACGTGAGGATGGATCACAAAATCCACATTGACTGCAAGATGTAAGACCAGCACAACTGCAGGATAAGCTACTACTATTTCTTTGGACACTGCAGTGTACAGTCTTGCTGTCAAGAGAACAAACGCTTTCTGCAGGGATTTTGCAGTCAAATTGCCACAATATCTGTTTCCAGAGGAGTGGCAGGTCACATGAAAGCTGTAACAAAGTAGTAGTGCACTGAGTTTGAAAGGCTCAATCCCACCTAAACAGAGCAGCACAACTCAACTGTGACACTCAAAGCTTTCAAAATATTTTCTAGCATTCTCTGAGACTTTCAGAATCCTAAGCAGGACTGCAAGAAAGTCTTTTCTCCATTATGACAGTCTGAAGGCCTATCTCCCCTGGGGATTCCAAAAGTAACGGTTCTTGCCAATGGCCGCCTCAGAGTTACGATCACAAAATACACTTTCTGTAAGGTAACAAACTCCCTGACCCAACCAACACCATGCAGCATGAACAACAACAGATGGCCAAGTTGTATGCCAAAAGTAAAACAACCATTTTTCAGCAAACATCCCTACTTCTTCCTTTTGCCTGATGCCTGAGTGAAGCCGGAGGACACACAGCATACCTAACTTACTAAACCTGTACCCTGTGCAACAGGCAAGACAATGGTCAAAAGAAGATGTCCTGGTATTCCATGTATGGCACAAGCATCTGATCTTTAGTGCTCATGGCAAATGCAGTATCACAGTGTTGACATGACTTGTGAAGGGAAGAGGGAAATCCCCAGCTCTGCTTTTGGAAAGTCACATTTTGCCATAGTAAATGCACGACCAAGTCCGGAAAATCTTCTTTCAGTAAACTTTTATCTATACCATATTCAGTTATGAATAAGTCCAAACATCTGTAAATCATTATATACATTAATATTATTTGAAAACTATTTAAAAATACATTAGAACACTAACAGTTTTACCTCAAATATATGTAGTCATATGAGACGTGCTTGACAAATACTGTGCACATCAAACAAAATACACCATTATTGCAGATTTTACAAAACTAACAAATTAATTGCCATGCATACATCAAGTCTTAACCTATCCATTTCTTAGAGATCTGTATAAATAGGGGTAATTCACAGTCTACATAAAATATATGTAATATATAAAACCACTCAATGTCTTTCTATTTAAAGCCATATTCATGTAATTGAAATCCACTGTACTTTGCAAAGCAGTTTTTAGTGTGTTTCAATTGACACTGCACTATTAACTTTAAAAACATCCTTTACTTCTTTTCAAGCACTGTCCTGCATTTTAGCCAGCAGGTGTTCACATTAGTAAATAAAAAAATAACGATGGCAGGGAAGGAAAAGAACATAATTACAACTTCAGAGCACAAGCAAAATTGTCTTGCCTTAGATATGCCCCAGACAAACCAACCCACTATTATTTGTACTAATTAGCAACTTCAATAGAATGCTAATCAAGAACTCATAAACTCAGTTTTTCAGTAACTTCCTGCCTTGGACAATTTCTCATATAACTATAGCAATAATTCCAACTGGGTCTGGAAAACAAAATGAACTAGTTCCAGACAAAACAGGGAAAGAAAAAATATTGATACACATTATATTCAACCCTGTCATGACAAAAACAGCAGGGAAAAAACCAGAACTTTTATCTCTAAAAGAAGACTATCTGAAAGATAGGGTGGGTTTCCTACCAGCACTTACAACAACAATGTGCCAAAACCCTTCACAAGAGTCCTTTATGAGCTTTTAGGAAGAATACTCATTAAAAAAATTAATCATTATTCTTGTAATTTTTCTGCTTACTGACTTTCAAGGAAAAGCCCATCGTGAGAACATAAAAATTCCTATGCAAGACATGCCTCTACCCAGATGAAACTAGTAAAAGATACACAATCAAAATAAGTCTCTTCTTGGGTGGCTTCCACTTTGAATAGAATTTAGAGAATTTAAGAGGGCTGAGAATAATTCCTGCCAGCCTATAAAAGGCCAGTGTGGAAGAAAGGCATTTTACTGTTTGGTACCAGTCCTTAGAAAGTCTTCCTCAGGCAGGGTAAACAGAAATTTATCCTTTTTAACAAAAGCTGAAATCCTCCCAAAAAATCCAACAGATATCCTCCTCACCCATATGAGGTTTTCAAGACAAAACATATCACAAAATCACACATTTATAGATTCAGACACATAGCTGGAATAATCACAGATGCAGATTTCCAAAGGAGGTACTGCCATCATCACCACTCTCAGTTAATGCATTGTCAACAGGAAGAATGGCAGAGGGAGACACACTTAAATATTGTGTTATTTCCAGAAATTAGCTTTGGCTGAACTGCTGCAAGATGGATATTTTAGGATACAAAGAGTTCAATACATTTTATTTGCTGAAAGCTCAGACTGGATGGCATGAAGTTAAGATTGTAATCCTCAAAAACTCCTGCAATCTGTATTTAATCCAGATTCCTCATGTGTTACAGCATATGTCAAATCAAAGGCATCATGCAATTATTTCAGCAAGAAAATAATTTATCAGGTGCAATTGGAAGTCCTATTGGATAAAGAAAATAACACACACTTAGATCCCTCTTAATTTCTTCCACAGATTTTTTGATAGTAACTTTGCAGCATCTATTTCAAACACATAATTTTTATGCTTCCTGTCTACATAATGAAAAAGAGGTTTCAACTTTCAAGAAGGATAGTCTTAAAATTACTTAGAAGTGTTTGTTCAATTTATTTTTTCTTTCTTACATGTTATTGAGTAGGAGAAAAGTACCACTTTTTTCTTTAACTCTAATTAATGATACACAAAAAGATTTGTCAGCAGACTTATTCTCTGATCAGCGTCTAAGGGGACTGAGAAAGACTGACTGACATAACTAACAAAAAGTGATTCATAAACACAGAAGGAAGTCAGTTATCTGACAGCACGTCTGAGATCAAATTCACTAAACAGGTCTGGTTTAGGCTAAAAGGATAAAAAAATCCCCTTCATTTCACAAAGGTCAAACCATCAGTAATCTTTCAAAGAAATAAAACTTTCAAAACCTCTCATTCAAAAATGCTACAGCTCTTCACAAAGGTCTACTTTTTCCTATGACCCTGTACCAGCATTAGAATACTGTGTAGCTTTAAGTCAAAAGGACTGATTTAATAAAAGAAAAAGAGCTGACATGAGTCCGTAATAACTTCCAAAGCATTCTCATGATCAGACCACTGGCACTAAAAAAGAATTGCACAAACTCATCCTGAAGTGCCAACAAATACAGCCCTTTGCAGGAATAACACAAGATGCTACTCAATACAGCAGTGCAAGGATGGTCTATTTAGTACAGCACTTATGTATTAAAGTTACTTATTAGTAATTGCTGAAGTAAAATTAATCATTGTCACTTCACTTAGAACATTATTAACATTATTAAGTTCAAATAGTACACATAATTGCCTTGGAAAATTACTTCACTTCCAATATATTTAGGCATAAGCATTTGCACAGCTTTTAACAGAACTCTCAGACTTCAGCAGTGACTGTTAAAAAAAAATCAAAATAAAATTTGGACAAAAGAAAACCAAAAAAATTTTCACTTTTCATTAGATACCTCCAAATCAAATTTACAGTCGTTCTGTGTATAAAAACAGACAACTATCAATGTTTTCAGTCAACTCACATTTATGTTTCAACTACAGCACTTGTAGCAAAAAGTGACTTCTATTCTCTTACCACTAACTGCTGCATGTTGCTTCAGATATTCCCTTCTGACATTTATGTTCTTCACAAGGCACTGTCTAGCGTGAGCTCTTCTCTCTTTCACGGGATCTTTTGCACACAGTGCACAAATAGCCATATATTCTAGTGGCAGCCGTAGTCTAGAAAGGCCTTTGTGAAGTTTCTGAGCAAATATTTGTCTCACTTGGTAACATTCATCCTATTAAAAAAAAAAAAAAGGCAAACCAAAAAAAGATAACAGTAAACTTTTCTTAAAACAATATAAACGGTAAAATAAATCATGGAAGCTCAGGTAAATATGCTAAAATCAATCAGACCCTGAAGCCACTGAAAGATAGGAATTGCAAGAATTTTTTTTTTTAAATGCCAATTCAGAGCAATTTAATTGAATTAATCAGCTGAAGCTTCCTTTAAGCTCGGAAGAAGAGCTAAGGTTCAAAAATTGTGCAGGAAGATATCACACTCAGGACCCAAGGCCGAATTTAGCATAGTACTAAAGCATGGAGTCACTGAAATTGTTTACAGTTGAGTGACTTGCTTTGTAAAGCCAAAGATCTGCACAAAAACATTTTAGCCACCAGTAACCACCACCTTGTTGATTTTGCTGCTATGATATCACACATTCTCATCAAGACATTAATATTAAAAACGGAATAAAATTCAACATGATAACCAGATAAGGTGAAACACTGAAGAGAGTAACAAGCATTTCCATTATGCTGTGGAAACCTATGCACTACAACTGACCATGGTAGAGAATTATCTGTGTTTAACAGCTGCCAAACAACAAGTAAAACAATATGAAGGCAGCAATTGTAGTTCTACAGCTTATTAAGCAATGTGTTCCCAGAAAAGGCATGAATTTAAATTTTTTTTTGTATGAAAATAACCTACATATACCATTTAATACATGACAAACCATTTCCTAACACAAGACAAGGAAGCTTAACAGAAACACATGCAGAAAAGACTTTGAAGAAAACATACATAAAAGCTTAAGGCAAACAAGGTCACCAGAATAGCTTGGTACGTTTAACCTGCTAAAAAAGGTCAGGAGGAAAGATTTCTCTCTAAATACAAAGAAAAAATGTTAACAGGAGTAAGCAGCTATTTTAGTCAAATGACAGCTTTGAAGTCAGAAAGGATTGAAGAAGGTTTCCAGCTATCAGTCAACTGAGGTACAGTCAAAACCTAGCCACTAGAAACACAGGCTCTGCTAAATTTGCAAATAGCATCAAAAGATATCATGTATTAGATAAAACAATCTTCCCTCTGCCTCCATCAAAAATGAAATTCAGAAGAAACTTTTTTCAGTGAAGTCCCATTTTCTCCTTTCTGTGCTTCAAGCAATATTCCCTGTCTATGGACTGATACCCTGAAACACCTGCTATAGCCAGAGCTGAAGTAACCCAAGCCCACAAACCCAAACCATGAGATCTGCTCATCATCTCTTGTCTCCTTACAGCAAATCCACCCCCACAGGAGGCTAAGATAGACCCCTCTTTTCCTCCTCAGTATCACCTAAGTCTAAAGCCTTTAGGAAGCTCAGAAGAGACAGATGCCTAGCTGCTGTTGCAGCAGGGAAACATCTTTGTCTCAGAGGACAAGGGAGGTACAGTTGGTTGCTACTGATGGTATTGTGTGGCCAACTGGAATTACTATAATTTCTTTATCTTTTAATATTGGGAATAACCTTAAATTGACTCAGTTACACCAGCTCACTAAGAAGAAGGGGACAAAACTTAACCAAGGTATGATATTTTTAACAGCATACACCAACCTTATAAATTAATCCAATTTTATACATCTACACCTCTAGATTAATGTTCATCATGTAAAAATTCACCATTTAAAAGCAAAAAAAATACATATTTGCAAAATATCATGTACCACTCAGACACAGCTCTGATTCATCAATTACAACACCTTGAGCTAACAAAACTGAAAAAGCTCTGATACTGTTTTAGACAAATGAAACCTACAAGACTTATTCTAAATACAATTAAATTGTATTTTCAACAGCAAAGCTTATAAGGTCTTAAATCTGATCTTAATGCTTGTTAAACACTGAAGTACTATCTTCAGTTACATTTCACTGTCTTTCAATATGAAGCTCTGCTGACATCAAAATTTGTTCTGGAGATCAAAGAAGTCAGCTGATCAGAAGTCAGATCAAAGAAGTCAGAACTTGTAAGATGGCCAAACAAATATGTAACTTATTTTAAAATTACTAAAACTACATGCATTTCATCATCATAAAACCCCTGTTTACCAGTGCCACTTTCACACAGCGATTAATGACAATTTAATTATGTGTTCTGCACTCCAATCATTACATATTACAAAACAGCAGTATCAGAGGGGAGAAAAAGTTCCAGCACAGAACCACAGCAGAACCTGTGCAACCATCACATGCCTTAAAAGGCAAGATTTTTCTGGTTTTCATCTGTTTTCTGATCTTCCCACTTAGAGAATCTTTGCTGTAAATTACATAAGACAAAACTGGAGCTGGCCTTGATGTCACCTGATCTGTGGCTAGACTTGAAAGTGCTAAGAATAAATAAACTTTCAGAGTATTTAGTATTTACCATCAAGAAATGGATTATAATACTAACCACTCTAAGCACTAACATACATATATGCATATGTGCACATGCCAAATCTCAAAAAAAAAATACAGTATCACTTTTAAGTGAAAAAATTATTGAAGCTATTACAGCTACTCTGCATCTGAGCATCGCCACTGACAGTGAGAAGGGAAATTGGAGAAAGCCTCAAAAACATCTAGAAAAGTTTTTTTTAAGTAGTCAAAATCCATTAGGAGCTGCAGTGAAAATGAAAGGCAGAATTCCTGACCTGACAGAGCTTACAATCTAAATTTTAGAAAACAACTTAGAAAGTCACAAAAGGCAAAGAAGTATCAATAAATGAAGAGGGAAAAGTGACAGAAATGATACTACAAAGGAACAGATTCTCCTGGAAGCAATGACAAAGCGTATGGATATCCACAGGGAGGGGATTACACACACCCAACACGGCTTTACAAAGGACAAATCATGCCTGACTGGTCTAACCTTTTACAATGAAGTGATGTGCAAATGGATAAGGGATGAGCAATTGATGTCATCTACCTGGACTTCTATAAGGGCTTTGACACAGGTATACACAGCATTGCTGTCTCTAAATTGGAGCGATATGGGTTTCAGAGATGGACTACTCAGCTGGTAAAAAAACTGGCTGGATGGCCATGTCCAAAGGATTGCGGTCAAAAAAAAAAAAAAAAAAATCAATGTCCAAATGGAGATCAGTAACAACTGGTGTGCTCAGCAGGGGAATACTGGGACCAGCATTGTTCATCTTTGTTAATTGCACAGATAGGAGAGCTGAGAACATCCCTCAGCAAGCCCGTGGATAACACCAAGCCAAGCGGTGCAGTTGATGGACTGTAGGGAAGAGCTGCCATCCAGACGAACCTTGACAGGCTTAAGGATTGGGCCCAGAGAAACATCAGGAGGTTCAAGAGCCCCAAGGGCAAGGTCCTGTACCTGGCTCCAGACAACTCTCTGTATCCATACAGGCTGAGGAATGAAGGGATTGAGAGCAGCTCTGCAGAGGACTGGGGTCACTTGTGGATAAAAAACTGGACATGAGCTCACTGCCCAGAAAGTTAACCCTGTCCTGGGCTGCATCAGAAGGAAAAGTGGCCAGCAGGGTCACAAAGGGAATTCTCGACATCTACTCTGCTCTCATGGGACCCCAACATGGAGTGCTGTGTCCCACTCTGGAGCAAGGGTTTTAAACTGGAAGAGGTGAGGCTTAGATTGGACATAGGGAAAAGATTTTTTACCATGAGGGTGGCCGAACACTGGAACAGGTTGCCCAGAAAACTTGTGAGCACCCCATCATTGGAGATGTTCAGGGCCGGGTTGGATGGGACTTTGAGCAACCTGATCTAGTGGAAGGTGTCCCTGATCACAGCAAGGGAGTTTAATGAGATGATCTTTAAGGGCTCGTTCCGGTCCAAAGTATGCTATAACGCTACAGCAAAATGTGATACTAACTGGTTTACAAATGTTGAGAACCCTATCATGTCCTAATTAGAATCTTATCTCTCAAAATTCCCTTTTGAAAATTCAAGGAAGATAAGTGTTAAACATAAAAAAGGTGACAACACATCTATTAGAATATCCACAAAGATTGTTATAGCTGGAAAATAAGTGATAAAATGAGAGACAGTGGAGGGCAAAGGGCCTGCATCTTAACAGACTGATAAGAATATCAAAACAATGAAGAAAATTTCTGATAGGAACTACAAGGTTAACATTTGCAATAAAGATTTGCCACAGGAGGGAAATGACTTAAGATATTAACAGATTTTGATCACTGGGTTCACAAGAAAACAGAACATGTAAACACTACATTGGCAGTGCTAGTTTGGCATGACATTATCCAGCTTGAGTATCCTTTCCGGAGCAGAGACAGAACTTATTTGTCATTACACTGAGTACCTATTTTTGTCTTGACTAATTTTTTATGAACTGTAAAAATCATTACAACTCATTTTGGGACAAGACTAACATTTCCATTCAGTTTTGGAATAGGATGGCTGAAAAGTATCAGACTTTGCTTTGGGTGTAAAGACATCCAGTTATTACCACTGAATTCTTGGTGTAGTTTTGCTAGATTTCATCTGCTTAAGTAGTTTAAAGCTTTGTTCCATTTCTCTTGTTTTTCACAGCATTTGGGAACTGAGTAAGGACTCCTTTTCATAGGATCACAGAAGCTTAAAATCCATATAAACATAGTTAAAAATAGGGACTGTCTTAGTCTGGTATAGGAATGATTTTTCTAGCCTAACTGAAACCAACTTGAAGCAATTTTTGAAACTAAAAAATATACTCTATACAAAAGTAAACAATATCCACACAGGACCCATACTCTATTTTCTAACATTAAATGCCAATTTATTGTCTTCTGATATTTAAAATGGGTCACAACTTTTAGCTGGACACAGGAATTAAGATCTAAAATGGCATTTCAGAGGATTTCTTGACTTCTGGAAAGCCAGGAGAATACCAGGAGCTACACAAATAACACCAACAGAAGTCTCTTCATGACCACCTTACTCTTGGGGTATGAATCCATTTCTGTACAATTTGCTAAGCCTATAAGCCAGATATAGAGAGGGTCCCTATACCTCTACCTACAATTTGAGAGTTATTTCCTTACTATGTGTTCACAGGCAGAAGTTAAGAATGAAAATTTCAGCATCTGCTAAGGAATATTTTCCTATTTCTTCTAATATTTGAAAGATGTTAATTATTTTTGCAGACCTCTGCATTCCAAAAGTATTGTACCCAAGTACTGAGAAACCAAGGTGACTGTTTTCACCACAGTTCAACATACTTTACATCATCTCATTTTAACTTCTAGTAATGTTATAATGCAGCTGGGATATTACTTAAATGCATACTGCATTTCTTCGTTTCTCAGTATTCTAACATTTGACTACTCTACATATTCCCCCAATGGACAGCCCAGTACTACAGATCTAATTCTCATCCACAGTGAGTTTTCAGGATTATGTAATGGAGAAATAATTTCATGCCAAGGGTGAATATTTTGCATAAAACCAGATTCACAGAAATAACATACTGAACAAACAACTATATACTCATACATCTGCTGATAACCCACAACTCCCAACAAATTTCCTTACATTTATGGCTAGTGCACACAGCTGATATTGTTCTAAGGTGATGATTTCGTGGTAACAAGGTTCTTGTGCCAACTTCACAATAGCATTCCCTGCAGCCAGCCTCAAGCGAGACATGTCAGGTTTACTGAAAAACAAGCACATGGATTGTGAAGGTTAATTAGTTAAAAAAATATGTAATTATTTAACTTCACTAAATCTAATAAAGTTTGCATCACTGGAAAAACAAGTACTTCAAAGGAAAGAAGTTTCTGGGAAGTTAGCCGCCCCCACACTAGCAGAAGCAATTTCAAACCCAAAATAAGTGGGAATAGGCTGTAAAATGTGGTACCATGAAAATTACCATTACCTGGTCCCAACCTGGCAATAAAAATTTTCCATCAAACTTCCTAAGAGTTCCACATAGGTGTGAAACAGATCTAGCTGTGCATTAGGGCCAGGACAGGCCATACTGCCCCTCAGAGACCACATCTAGCAGTAAGATAGTTCTGTTCAGCTTGCTGGTCCCCCTTCAGCAGGAGAGTCCTTCCAAAGAAGTAGCCAGCCCATTTCTACTCCCCAAAGTTGCCAAACTCTTCTAGCTCAAAATCCATGCTTCAGGCCAACATAAATTAATGTAATACATGACTAAGTGAATTTTATTTTAAGACAATAGCAAAAAGTCCTTTTATCCTTTCAGCAACCACTGCAAATGTTGTTTATCAGATGTGTGGCAAATTTTCTATAGCACAGAACTATGATATTCTAAACTCCAAAAGGTTTTTAATAATTTTTCTCTTGGTGAGCATTAGTTTGCGAAAAAATGCAATGGCATTTCAAGAAAATCTCAATTCAACTTCATATCTAATATCAATACCTTAAGCAACTTCTAGCATCCTCTGATACATAAATAGTCTTATTTTATGCTTAGTATAGACTAAAATCAAAATCCTACTACAAAGATATGCAAGATTAAACCTAGCTGTTCTACCTAACCACAAACAGAGAATTTGGATAATCTTGAATTTTGTAGGACTATTTATGACTTATAAAATTAAAAAGAAAGACTTTGAAAGGACAGTTGAGATACTGTTTATTGATAAAATTAGATATTAAAAAAATACAAGACTGGTGAATTTAACCTACACATGATTAACATCTTGAAGAAATCAGTTGTTAATTTAAAAGCAACTCAAGAAAGTTATCAATCCTACTACTTCAAAGTGTGAAGGATGAGCAAGAGAAGGGATTTGTTGTCCAAATGGTACCTTGCCTTCACCTGACACTCCAGGCTGAACAATGCTTTAAAGTAAAAAAAAAAAATATATATCCCTTACACTGTCACTGAAAGGTAAAGTTGTGTAGACTTCATGAGGCATAGGGGCAGAGTCACTTTTAGGGTTGATAAGGGCAACAACACTGAGAAAATTACAACATGACTGATAGCCTCAACAGCATCAAAGGCTCCTGAGCCCTGCCACTTTCACTTAATTCAATTATGTTTAGCAGATCGTTAAACAATGTTTAAAAGACAAGTGCAAGCCATGAACAATAAAACTGACTCACACAAAATGACCTCACAACAAGTACAATCTAAAAGGTTATGTTCTGTACTGAATGGACAATTTTACTCTTTTCAAAGCCTGCTCCAAGTCAGAAGGAGCAGTATCAGGTTTGCACAGAAGGGACACAGTAAGCATTGTCAGAAAGAAGATATCCATATTGCACTCAATGGGTGAAGAACAAAGGTCAGGAAGTGTCAGCAAGTTCCATGCAGAACTAACAGGCCTGAAATATCATCTCCTCTGCTTCAGGTTTTGAGAATAATTGTTAATGTAAGCAGTACTACTTACACAGAGACAACAGACTAACCCTTCTACCAGTTTGGAGCTTTCCTGAAAAGCAACAGTGAGAATCACAAAATAATTATTACATGTCCTGTCAACAGGGCTCTTGCCTCATTCAGCAGTGGGTGCACATTTTACCTAGTCTTCCTTTTGTCACTTACTTAGAAAAGCTCTTCTGGTACCTTTGTCACTTCTCACTAGATTTTATCCCAGTTGGGATTTGGTTTTCCTAACTGTATCTCCGATGGTGTTCCCTGTATTCCTGCCAGATTACCCATCTCTGCTTCCTCCTTCTGTATACCTCATGCAACCATAGAATAGTTGGGGCCAGAAAGGACAGTTAAAGTTCATCTAGTCCAGCCCCCTGCAATAAGCAGGTACTTGGAGGCCTGTCCAACTTGACCGTGAATGTTTCCAGGGATGGAGCAGCTATTACCTCCCTGGGCATCCTGTTTCAGTGTTTCATCATCCTTACCATACAAAAACATCTTCCTTCTAACCTGTAGTTAGAAGGAAGAACTACAGGTTCCCTTTAAGTAATGACAGACCACAATAAGGTCTTCCTAGACCCTTCTCCAGGCTGAAGAACTCCGATTCCCTCATTTTATGAAGAGCCTTTCACTCCTCATTTCATAAATGTGAAAGGCTCACACCTCATGAAAGTGCTCCAGCCCTCTGATTGTTTTTGAGACCCTTCTCTGAACATGCTCTACCAGGTCCATGTGTTTCCTGTGCTGAGAACCGAAGAGCTGGATGCAGTACTTTGCATAGGGTCTCACCCCCAGAGTGAGCTGAAGAGGCAGAATCAAATCCCTAGACCTGCTAGTCACGCTTCTTTTGACGTGGCCCCGAACACAGCTGGCTTTCTGGAATGTAAGCACACATTGTCAGCTCATGTCCACACCTTCATCCACCATTGTCCCCAAGTACTACTCTGCAGGGCTGTTCTCAAGCCCTCTTTTTGTGTTTGAATTTTGCCAGGAGCACCTTGCTCATCCAGGTACAGTTTGCTGAAGTATCCATCTGCTTTTATGCTGTGATTACTCTTGAGTACTGAGGGGTGATTTCTGAATACTAGGTAATCGGCTTTCTTAGGCCCCTCTTCCCTCCAGGCCTTATCCACTGGATCCTACAAGCACATTCTTGTAGAGACCCAAGACTGTTCTTCTGCAGTCCAGTCCAATCTTCCTTCTGACCCCTTTTTTGCCCTCAGGATGTTGAACTTCACCATCGTAGGGTCATTATAGCCAAGGCTGCCTTCAACCTTCACATCCCCAGTAAGCCCCTCTTTGCTGGCAAGTATGAGATCCAGCAGAGAGCCTCTTCTCATTACGTCCTCTACTAGTTGTGTCAAAAGTTGTCATTGATGCTGCTCTGGATTGTTATGCACTGCTGTGTTGCTCTTGCAGCAGAAATCAGAGAGGTTGAATTTTCCCACAAAGGCCAAGGACTGCATACATTAAGTTGTTTTCAGCTGTTTAAAGGCCTCATCCTCTTCCTGGTCAGGGGTCCCACAGCAGACACTCACCAGGATGTTTCCCAGAGCAATCTGCTCTTCAAACTTCACCCATAAGCTCTCCATTGGCTCAACAACCATCCCCAGGCAGAGCTCCAAGCTCTGGGGTCGAAGGGTTACCTCCACAGCAACATCACATGTCACTGCAGCTTTCTCCCTACCCTGAAAGGATCCCTCTCTAGCCCTCCATTAACTTTATTTAAAAATGGAGAACTGATCACATCATTGTATAAAGTTTCTACTTTGTATAATTACTTTTTGAGTAGTAAAGGAGTGGGAAAATTAAATCTCTGCTCTGAAACATTTACAGTAAGGAATCATCATTCCAAACATGAAAACACACAGGGTCCACAGAACCGATCTATTCAGTAACTACTGCATAAGCCAACCATGTGCTCCAAGTAGTCATGCTGAAAAGCTAAATTACTGCCACTCAACTCCCTGGCAATTGCCATGAATAGTCACATTACAGAACTTAAAACTATAAAACAATTGTTTACAAATAACTTTAGGACAGACTACAGTTGCTACAAAGATAATATACTAGACAGCTTTCAGGTTTGCAATTTTGTGCACACAGTATGGTTCTATCTGCATAACTACTGTATAACATTAGCTCTGCCTGAAAATCAGAACCTTTTTAAGCATACTGGCACAATCTACCCAAGCCCTTAATGGCTTTTGTAGACATAAATTTTCAGTGTTTAGCAGGAAATAGCAACTGACAACTTGTCACTATTCCTACCACAAAGGATTAAGAAGATACCCAGAAAAATATGTTGTCTAACAGTCACCTAAAAGGCAAATTATTTAGAGATTTAATCCTGTTTACACATTTCCTTCTTGCTTTTACTTCTAGAGACCTCAAGGTCTGCCTCCAAACAGAAGTGTCCTGTGTACTAAGTACTTCCACCTGGTTTATACAACACACTATTATTCTTTATTAGAAAGCCCACCTATCAGCATTTGGCATACACAGCAATTGGTACACCAGGAACAGCAAGCCGCATAAAAAATTAAAACCAATTTTCAGTGGGAAGGAGGAAGTTGCACAGTTTATTCCTGCTATATGAGTAATGACCTATTGAAGGGATAAATAAAAGCAAGAATATTAAGCCTAAAATTCAGCTGTGTGTACAGTGTTACAAAACCTGAGACTCAGCAAACTTACGTAGGAACCAGCCAAGCTTACTATCACATTTTATGAAATAAAATGTATAAATTGTTAAGCAGTATAGCAGAATAGTTTACACACTACTTCAATTAAAACTTTCCCCCCACTCCATCATCACAGACATGAAAATATTACCATCTGTTACATACCTTATTTTCCCCTGCTCTGTTAAATCTCCATCACTGTGTAATATTGTTGTTAGCAATCTCAGCGTAGAAGTACCTGACTTGCTGTGGTTGTTCTTCATTCCTAGCAACCATCGAACCATCATCTTGATGGCCTGAATCTGAAAAAAAAATTTATACCAAAATGTCAAATCACATCATAAGCCTCATTGTAAAAATAATCTTTAATTTAATCACACAGTATTTTTCCCCAACTACTTTTTGCTGGTACAAACATATGTCTGTCAGGACTGCAAAACATCATTTAAATACTGAAAGATAACCAGACATACTCTCACTAGACAGCAACTTTTCACTGAAAGTCTCAAGCATATATTACAGCAAATAAAAATTACACCTTTAGTCAAAGTTTGAGCTGCTTCTTCTATACGCAGTCGCATTTTGTCCTTTGAAAACATTTTCTTAATCGAGCTTACATCCATTAAATACTGTGAAATAGGCTAAACAGTTTATATTTACTAAGAAAATGTTACTGGATCAAAAAGCAAAACACATTTTCATCTTTATATATTCCTATAATTCACAGAATATTCTGAGTCAGAAGGGACCCACAAGGATCAACAAGTCCAGTGAATGAACCATACGGTGACTGAACCCATGACCTTGGCGTTAAATTCCTGTGCCCTGTATATATTCTCTATCTATGTCATATTTGAGTTAAAATTTAAGACACAAACTTGAAAAAACACTTAATAGACATCTTGACTGTTAAGAGCAGCAATCTGTACTCCTTACCCTGGTAAAGAGTAAGTAACTTACCCTGGTAAAGAATACTTTTTTCACATCTATTTAAAGAAAAGTCTCAAAGTCAGGGAGGGATAACTTGGTTTTGCCAATGGAAACATCAAGTGTTTTGAGGCTAGCTTCTGCCAGTATGCAGAATCCAGCAACTACCATGAAACACTGAATAATTTCACATTTCTTTAGTGAAAATAAAACATTAATTTAGAGATTAAGTTTGTTTTAGTATTTGAATCCCTTTATCCTTTCATTTTTCTTTCATGTGACAGCAGAGACAATACACAAAACAAAAAAGAGCGTCTTCTTACAGTAAAATGAAAATGTTCATCACATAGGTATCCTTTGGAAAAAAAAAAACAAAACAAAAAAAACAAACCAAAACAAAATACTGAACTCAGAAGTTCAAAACCGAAAAGCTTTAGAAAACTTACGCTTTTCGTACATGGTAACTTCAAATATTCTCATTAGTGGGAAAAGCAATTCTAGTAACTTTTATATAAACATTCACAATATCAACAAATTAAATTTATCATAGCATAATTGAGCTACTCCTTGAAATGAACTGACCAAACTGGTCCTGTCAGATCTCAGTTCTAGGACTATCACTTCTATGTGAGTTTTTGGGACTGTAGTCCACTTGCTCCACCTAATTGGGTAACACCAGTAAGCTGTAGGATGTGTCACTCCAGAACTCAAAATGCAAACGGAGTCTGAGGAGCAGAATCTGTCTTGCCCTCACTTTCAAAGGGTCTTCCACTGGAACAACTCTAAGTATCCACCAGAAGATTTTAATAGCATCAAACCCAATATAATAATTGTAATACAATAAGAACAGCATCAGATTTTTTTATAGCTCACAAATTCAGTTTCATGTCATAACCAGGACTTGGAAACATTAGTGCCTCTCATTTGTTGGTAGGATGGAAATATGACAGCTCTTCTAGGTCTTCAAATAAATGACACATTCAGCCAGGGAACAGATACAGGCCACCTTGTCCCCTGACCAATTTCAGTTTCAATCCTGGCTTCTAGTAATTCCCTCCATAATGTCTTTTCCCCAGTTTTGTTATCCAAACCTATTCTAGTCTTCCTTCCATGTAGACAAGTCCTAGTCCCACCTCCTTCAGAATTTTTGTCTGACCCCACTAGTTTCCCTATTTATTTGCTGGTATAAATGATATGATGACATTCCAGCAACCAGTCAGAATTAAGCATTCCCATGAAATTAGTACAGGGCATGAGAATTCCCCCAGCCACTACTACTGATTACCCAAAGACTTCATTAAACATGAGTTTGGACTGCAGTCATGTTTTAAATTCTCCCTTTGCAACCAAATAGTCTAGCTATTAAAAGATAATTCCAGTTGGAAGGAGTGCTAGGAAGTTTCCAGTTCAATCTCCTGCTCAAAGGAAGGTCAGCTATGAAATCACACCACACTGGTCTCAGTTTTATGCATTGTGGTGTTGAAAGCCCTCCAAGAATGAATACTGCACAGGCTCTTTTGGCAACCTGCAACCTCTTGCATTGTCTGACTGTTCACAGGCTTTTCCTTATATTCAGTCTGAAGTTCTTGCTTCAATTTGTGTTCCATGAGCCTAGATTTCTCCTCCGAGATGAAAAATTATTTTTACACAACATGAAAAAAAAGTGAAAACAAGACACAAACATATCAAAGACAACACTTGTCTTCCTACTACATCACCATTATGGCAGCAGCTGGCAAAGGTTTCTACTGCTTGAGGTTTCAGAGCCACAAAGGCTGCAAGTTTGTGCCGTAGTGGAAAATGAAACAACGCCCACTTTGAGCATAGTTAGAGAAATAGTATTAAAAACCTTATATTCCAATGATATGAAAGAAAAAAGAAATATCATTGCTACTACACAAGTCTCAATCCCCTGCATGGTGCACAGTACACATTACAGGTCACTGCCAAGACAGACAGTTGCTTTAGAACTCAGACTGGAATTCCTAGGCCTGGCATTCAGCTCATACAATCATTAATCCAATTCATAGTTAATACTGTACTGAAACATTTCTCTGCAGAGACCCTTTCATAGAAGGTTTAGCACCCAAAACTAAGGTTATCCTGTATCACTCTACATCTGCTAGACTGGACAATTTAGTTTTCAGCAGTCCTTCCCACTTTCATACACCAACTTGCTAGTTTTAAAGTCCCTCATAGATATATAATAATGTTACAAAATGAAAAAGAGGCTCGTAAAACCAGAGTGAAGAAAAGTACACTATCAGAGAGAAATAATTTATAAACTAATGGCATGGTCTGGAGCATACATTAAGTTTAAGCTCTGCAGTAGTAATAAATATTAATTAAATTTGCAAATCAATTTTCACCTGCAAATAAATTCTTCTTACAGTTTTCAGGCTTGGCTTCAACTGCAAATTGCCTTAAGAATTTCTGCAGGTTAATTCCCTTCCAAATAGCCAAATGTATGAGAAGTCTTATCAATAGAATAGTACATTTTAGAGAGTTATTACAGCTTCACAAATCATTTAAAATATTAAGAAAAACAATATTTACTACTTCAAGTTACATGATAATCACTCAAGTGAAATAATGTCTATTTAAAATTAGCATCTCATTAAATTAAAACAAAGGTACATTCTTTTAACAATTTTTGGAGTACTGTGTAACTATGGAGTTGCACAAATATGAAAAATATCCTTTGTGGAGTCAAAAAACTAAAAGCAACAAATCAACTTCAAAAAAAGCCAAGACTTTCCAGTAATATGTTCTGTACTACACTGCAAAGCAAAGTACTTACTAACCTAGCAGAAAAGAAGGTCTGCTGGGAAGTGTTTAACAATTTTGAGAGAAGGCAAAGAACTTTTTAAAACCAGAGCCACTCTACTCAGAAGACATTAGAAACTAAACAACTAATATAAAATAGAGCATACTGTAAAAGACAAGCATCTCATTCTGAAAGAAGTGAAAGCAAAAATCTATGCCTGTTCTGAAGACCATTTAAAAACCAAATACAGATAAAGATTTTCCACATTGTGAGTCTATTTCTAATTCATTGAAAAATTGACTGACAGCATCTCTTACAGAGTACAGAAAATGTATTACACTTACTCCAAAATAAAAAAAAAGCTTGAGATGACATTTTTAAGTATCAAAACAAACCCCCAACTATTTTTAAGTGATTTTTTTCTTAAATCCAGCTTTTTATCTAATACACACTGCAAACAGAAAAATAAACAATGTAACAGATTTATTCATTTGAGGAAGCTGCCAAATCCAAACCTAATTTTTCTTCTTCCAAAACAACACTGAAAGTTTCTTGGAATGGCATAAAAATTCAACAGAAAAAGGTAAGACTTTTAACAAAATTTATATACTATTTATCTCCTACATTGAATAGGAGGGGAAAAATAATTTTACTTTAAGTAATCCAGCTATCATCACAGTCAAGTGTCAGAAAACAAAACTACACCTATAAAGAGCTTATGTAAAAACTCAATGAAGTGTGTATGCAAATTTATGCACAAAATAATAATTAAAAAATATGTTCCCAAGAACAAATCCTTTTTAAGTATTATGAACATAACAGACAAGAAAACATAGTACACGCTACTCACTTTAACAAGGGTTTCAGGAGACACCTCTTCATCTGGGACCCAAAGTTTTGTTGTCTTCTTTCCCGGAAGCTGAACAAAACGTTACATTTGTTATAGTACAGTTACTCTTCAGTGAAACTTGTAACCTCCTCTTTCCTGTTTGCTTCTGGAAACAATACAGCAGCACTCCCTGGTCAGCTGTATGCCTCCTGTACCTTCCAGAAGTAACCACTACAGAAATGAGATATCTCACTATCCAAGGATCAGCCAATTTAAGATTAATAAAGGGATTGGTTGTTGTTGTTGTTACCTGGAAACTATTCCTTTAGGCGTAATAGCCACTGCTTTGAAAAATAAGTTTTTCCAGTAGATTGGAACCTCACTCACATTTTACTGTTTTAGACAGTGTACGTTTCCCTTAGCAATTTCAAACAACGCATGAGTTCCTTTTTTTACTTCATAATCACTTTAGAATCAATACAAAATTGTTCAAAAAACTGAAATTCAGTCTTCCATTTAAATAGTGTATTTTAATTTCAAATGTAATATAATTCCTAAAAATCACAACTCACTCAAGATAAGAAACAATGAAAACATAACAATTTTCCTCTTTTTAATAAAGGCCAAGTCATGAGTGATGAAATGTTGTACTATGCAGCTCATCACTTTTTTAAGATTCCCAAATTAGTAGAACTCTCCTTACCTGTACCATGGGTTTTGAATGGAGTCAAACTACATGAGGAAATCAATAGACAACCATATACAAAAAGCAGAATCAGCATGCCAAATATTCTCCCAAGGACTTGCTGAGTATGATACTAGAGAAAAAGAATACTCTTTATATAAGATTTTAAAAATACTCACCCTATCATTCATTAGCAAATCTTTAACAATAAAAGTAGCAACCAAAGATTTCAAGGGAGCAGCAAATTGGTCAGGTGCAAGCATGGCTATATGGCCAATAGTAACCAATGGCGTAATGAGGTGCTCAAAATTGCTTGGATCCAGACTTTTATGCAGCGGCTAAAAAACAGGCAACAAATTCAGGTATTATTGTTATAATCTGTGTCTTACTGAGGGGCTGGGAATGACAGCTTCATACCACGTTGTCCATGTCTACTTCAGAAGTACAATTTCAAAAGAACTATTGATTATTTGATTTTAAAGATACATTCACCAACCCATCAAGTCTTCAAGTCAGAGGAAATGTCAATATGACAGACAAAATATTTATTACCTCTGGGTAGTTCAAAACGTGACAGCTCAAGCATGACCATTTAGGAAACGATGGATTAAAAAGCCTACTTTATTGCGGGAGAACTAGATCTCCCACTAGCTTCTCTTGTGGGAGAAGCTAGCAATTCCAGTAATGGACAGTGATTCAGCCTTCAAGATAAGAGGCTGATGGCTACTAATTAAAAAGTAAATTTGCAGGTACAGCTATAAAATTTATTTAGTCTGTACTACAATTCAATTTTCCATAATTTCTGCAACCATTTAAATACTTCTGACCATTTTCAACAGGGATAAGGAGTAGCATATGGTTCTTCTTTCCATAAGTAGTTCATGGTTCTAGTACACAGCCTAACACTTGGTTTTACTCTATCAGCTCTTAAAATACATAACCTAAAATATGATGAATCATGAGACACAAGAACACCCTCTACTACCATTCTTCAGACCAAAATCATGTAAGAAGAAAAAGAAAGGAGAAAAATGTATTTCCTAAATCTGCTACAACTTGCAACTACATCCCTTAGTTTACAAATGCAATATAAAAGATCAGTAAACGTAACTTAAGTATTTAACGTTACCTCAAATATCTGCGCAAACTGTGTTTCTTTGCTGGAAAATATTGCATGGATGCAGTGAATAGCATACTTGGCTTGACGAGGGGGTCCCTTTTTAGCTTTATGATGCAACACTGGAAGCAAAGCACTAAACAGTTGTGTAACAAAACAAATAGACAAACAGACCAAGAGATAAATAATTTCACAAACTGAAAATCTTCCAAAACATCAAACTAACAAAGAAGTACAGATACACATATAAAAACCACAACACTTCAGCAAAAGCACTAATTGCTTTTGTTGTGTAGTATCTTATTAAAAAAAAAAAAAGAAAAGAAAAAATTACCTCGTAACTTGCAAGCAAAAAAAATCCTCGTTTTTGTTGATAAAATGTTATGTGGTAAAATAGGCACAGGTACTAAATGTTCTTGTGGAAATATTTTTGCCTACCTATTACCATTAAATTGCAAGGGATGTTTTTACACTGCATATATATATACATCTATATCTATTACCTAGGAAAGAATAAGTAATTCTGAAGGGCAACAATATAAATTATAGTGGTATGAGTGACATACCAGCTGTCACTACTTCAGGTATATTCATTTCACTTCCATTCTTCAAAAAGCACTACAATTTAAGTTTTTCAAAATCTCTTTTTGGAAGTAATACTTCCAAAAGAATGCAGAATAATGCTACAGCAGATGAAAGGAACAGTGAGAACTTCCAAAATCCTATACAGTAAAGATCACTGCTCAGAGTAAGAGACACAACTTACGATCGTATGTGAGGAAAGTCTTCTTCAATTTTACTTCCTGTATTTTTGAAAATTTGTAATGCAGCTTCTGCCACTTTTTCATCATCCATTTTCAAGCAAGCCAGGAGAGATTCAAAAGTTTCAGCTGAATGAAATGAGATAGGGTGTGTAAACGAAAGTACCTGCCAAAATATGATGAAAGCCATGTTAACATTTTTTAAAGGTCCACTTATACCAGGACACTTCATCAAGAGTCATTTTCCACTGCCATACTGGAACATTTATAATACTCTCCCTGATTTTGACTCACAATCTACATTTTCCTTAATTTCTTTAGTAGCTCCTAAAGTTCTGTCTTTATACATGACCTCATTAGATTTTCCCAGGATTAGTTTCTTCTCCTATTATTCTGACCATGTACTTCTCAGTGGCTACATCTACATTACCAAGTACAGCAGGAACAGGTCTTAAGAGAAACACATCTCATGCTAAGGAAGCAACATTCATGTTTCAGGAGTTTTGCTTCAGAGTATTTTTAGACTGACTAAATCCACTTTAGCCAATGCAACACAACATGTACTTCTGAAGCCCATCTGAATTTTGTTCCTCTGAAAGGAATCCAGCTTGTGTGCCTCCAGACTTCATGTTTGTTTCCTCAGGGGAAGATCTGATTCTGCTCTGAAGTGAAACTCCTATCTCTAAAATAGCAATACAGACATACTCAGACATACTCTAGTCCCTCAAGCTTTCCACATCAACTTAACAGATTCTGTACCTCTCCTTCAGATTCTTGGACTTGATTGTTTTCAGGTATGACAGTCCTCCCATGTTAAAAAAATGAAATAAAGAAAACCTCAATTGATCCTCCCTGAAATTCAGTCTTTTCATTTTTAAGTAGCTGTTGATTATTAGCCTCGTTCCACATAATATTCTGACCCATGCTAGAGAAACAATCCTCAAAATCTAGAAACTTCTTCATATGCAGTTTTCTATTTTAACCAGGCCACCTTCCTTCCGACTTCATTGAATGGCATTCCCAATGCTGGACTCCTATATTTGTCCTCTTTATATTATTCTGATGATGTATAGACCTCTTAGTTCAGGGCAGTCTTACTCCTCTTCCTTAAATGTGTCATACCAGCTCATACAAATGCATAAATACTGACCTGGAAGCCTTTATTCAAGTATACAGTCCTTTATAACATGATTAATTCTTTCTTACTCGGATGCATTCTTGCACACTTTTATCTAAATGTGCACACCTGGATAAAGAGCTACACCCTTTCTGGTGAATCTACTCTGTCCTTAGTTCTTCTAAAATACTCTGGAAACTTCAGTATGGAAGTCCTTTAGATTTTTAGGCCTCTGAAGTCAACCCCCAGCTGGACTACTTGACAGTCTTTGCTATGTTAGCTCAGTCTCAAGATTACTCATAGCTGAAAATAGGTAAGACCCCCAACTTAAATAGAACACAGAGGAACCACAGTGTTGCACTGATGTACAATAGCACAGTATATATTTACAGATTGCCAAATTCATGCTCTAATAACCAAAACCCTGCTGCTGTTGTCTCACAGACAACTACTTTTGGCTTCCAGAAAAGCTTCTAAATAATTTAAAAAGTAACCTTACTGATGTACCATGTAAGATGAGCATAAAGCACATGAACCCAAACCAGTTTCTTCTGGGTAGGCACCACATACTGCTTTTGACTAAAAGCAGTAAGTGTTAACTAAAGATTTATTTTAACAAAGTTGTTTGCAAAGTTTCCCATGCTCACTGGCCACTAGGACTGTACTTGCCTTCAGCAATTCAAGACCTGCTCTGATTGCCTGGTCAGTAGGTACACCCTCATCTTCATCATCAGCTGTTCCATCTATAGACTTGTTCACTTGCTTGATAAGGGCACTGAAGAGGAAAACAAAACATGGTCTTGTAGTTACTGCAATTCCACCATGTATGATTACATTTTAAACTTGTGAAAACAATCTTATTTAAAGCAACTTATTTAAAACATAAGCCTATTATAAACCAAATATGTCAACTACGTACATAATCTGGTTGCCCTCATCTCCTATCCAAATCAAAACTTATGAAGCATTGAATTAAAAAATATTTATGCATCATGAATCAAGAACTATATACAAATTACTCTGGAAGGATGACCAAATAAGAAAACAACTTGAGCATTACAAGCAACAAACTCAATAATTATGCTGAGGTTACAACCTGCTACAGATTCTTAATAATTGATAGAAAATAAATGTTTACAATACTTAGTTTCTAACCAAGAGGAAAAAAAAATAACCATTTAACAGTTCTGCTAAGAGCTGATGACAAATTTACAAGACCTATCTTCCGCATATTTCTTCTTGACAGTAAGGCTTATTTCAAATACTGATGTTAAATAATCATTTCAGCAATAATAATTTCCATAACCCCCCCCCCCCCCCCCCATAACTTTGTTGGCTCACTCTTCCTTGAAGTCTTGCTCCCTCATCATCATAACCTTTACTTCCTCAGTTACATTACTGTTTATGTCACTATGAGCTAATATTCTGGGTGGAAAGTTTCAGCTGAATAGTCTGGACAAAAGTTTGTTTTAAAATAAGTCAGCTGGTCACAAACCATACTTTGTGCATAAGTAATACATCCACTTTTACTGACAAGTCATCCCAGCTATGCTGAATGACAATGCAATTGTTTCTGTGACTACATTCTGGACAAGGACACAAAAACCCCCACACAAAATGAAGCAGAAGAAAACACTGCAGGTCACCAAGCCTTAAGCCATACCCACCCAGCCTATTACTGCTTGTGCTTAAAGGCAAATAAGAAGCCCCAGTTTCAAATCCTGTGGTCTATGGCTGACAACACACACAAAAAAATACCTGATGGATTCGGTATCAATATGCACAGGAGCAATTCTCTCAAGAAGAAACTTTATCATTTCCAGGAAAGGATTTGTTGGTTGCTTTGGATTGCCCAACTTCTTTGTTATTTCCCTCTGAAATATAAGTTGTGATTAAATTTCTAATCAATTCCATTCCAAAAATATTCACACTTTAAGAGCAATTCTTACCACACATCCTTCAGCCTGTTTGCAAGAACATGTTGGGCTAACAAGCATTTCTAACTGACTTCTTATTTTTTCATCATCTTCTAGAACTTGTGTGAACTTTTTCATGAAATCTTGAGCTTTCCCTGGATCAGGAAGGTTTCCTTTAAATAACCAAAATAAATCACTTTTTATGTATTGTAAATTGCAAAAGTTTGGAACATCATACAAACCACACAAAACCCAAACCAAACAAACTAAAAGAAAAACCACAAAAAACCCAAACTACAAAACACCTCAAAATAAGCAGACATATCTATGAGGACACAAATTTCTACAAATTTCCTCTGGCTAATTGCTTTCCCCACCCTTCACAGTCGTTTTCCAGCAAGTCTAATTGCTCTTGCTAACAATATTACTAACAGCTGAAGCTGACCTCAGACTGCAAAGCCTAAACTCCACAACAAAATATACTCTGTATATAGATGACCCAATGCAACAAGCGTGAAAAACATCAAAAAGGGTATTTTTGCTGAAATACCCCTTAAGTAAACATAAGCTTTACAACAAACATTCAAAACCAAAATATGGCATTTAAAATGCGGTAAGGAAACAAACTTTTACAACAGCTTAAAACATTCCCAAAAGAAGGAGCCTGGCATTCAACTATATTCTCATTTTATATTTATGTTTTATATTACAGCAAGGCAATTTATTGGCAAAGAATTAGTCTACTTAAGATGCTTCATATTTTTTGGTCCAGACAGTGTTAAGCAAAGCTAGTACAGAATGTGGTGTAGCACTACAGGACGGTTAGTTCAAAACAAGTTCTATTATGATTTTGTTTTGCTGTATCGATTTTTTTTTTAAAATAAGCCAAGAACTAAAAGTATGAGAAAAAACACAAACTGATGAAAAATAGATCAGTATCATGGCCAATGAAGCAGCACAGTCCATTTTTTTCCTCCATATTTTTTCAAAAATGTGCAGTCTTGTGTAATTTTTGCCAGAACAGATGGCATTTTTTAAAAAAAGGTGGATTTGAAAACAAATTTTCAGAATTGTAAACCAGGTTTTTCTTCATACTAGTTTTAATGCTATTGAGATGACGGGCCTGGGGAACAAAAAGTGCTGTTTTTTGGTTGGTGGGTATTTCTTTGTCAATAGCTCAGTTTACACAGAAGTTCTTCCGTTTCTGAAGTGCTTTCCTTCTAGTGAAATCCAAACTCTCTTGCATTCCAATGACATTTACAATACTAAAACCTCAGAAGAGTTAAGTACAGTTAGAACATAGCTAAGTTAGTACATAGCTTAATAGTTTAGTTAACATCTATGAATACATACTCTATAATATATGTTAAAATAGACATTAACACCCTGGATCATCTAGACCTTGAATTAGTCCACAATGCAGCCAAAATGCTATGTGATAGGCTTCATGACCGATGTCTTATGCTAAGAGTAATTCTGGTTAGAGCTGCCTTCATTCTTAAAAGCATATTGCTGCATCACATTTATCATGATTTCCTTTAAATTTTATCTGCTGCAAAATGTTTTCTTATAAAGTTACCCCAAATTATTTTTAAAGCAATAAAGCAATATAGTTCTACTGCAATTTTTAGACACTGTAAATACTTTTACTGACTTACGTGTTATAACCATCACTTTTGAAAATATAGCTTTACTGCTGGCATCTGTCTGCAAGTCACAAAAGAAAAATTGATTAAGTAAAAATTTTACATTATTTATTTCCATTTGAATATTGAATAAGGTCCAGACTGCATTAACAAGTCAGCATCCATTCTGCTAACACATCAGTGTGTTAGAAATCAAAAACCACCACTGCAAATTCAATGTAGACACAATAAGTAAAAGGTAGATCATTGCTACAGATCAATTATATAAAATACTTTTATTACTTTTCAATCTACCATATAACTTATGACCAGCACAAATGCGCTATTCCTACAGTGTGTAGTCTCAGAAGAATGCCATAATTTTCAGGGCTCTTAGCTGTCACAACTGAACTCACATGTTCAGACAAAAAAAATGATAAAAGACAGAAATCAGGTATCATTTACAGGATTCAAGTAATGCTGTCAGCAGACACAGACTTCCCATATTCAAACCTCTTGTGACTCAGGAGAAAAACAAAAACCGTACTGTGGAGTTTCTTTCATCCTGACTGTTCTGGTGCCCTTATACTACCTTAAGCCTTCAAGCACTGACTAAAGTTCCCATCAAAAGAGACTGAGCAAACTACTAATAATTCAGCCAGCCGTCAAATAACCTGAGGCAGAAGTATTAACTCGCAGTAGTATAACTCTATTGAATTATGACAGATTAAAGAAGTTTAAGACACATTTCTTTTTAGAAAATCTACTGTGGCACTTCATCGACATAATCTTGCATTCATCTGCAGCAAATGAAGATTGTACTCCAATAGACACAAAACAGCATTCACTTTTCCACATATGAACAGGGAAGGTTATGTATTTTATTTCACTGTATACCACTGCTGAAGGAGAAAACAAGAGAAGCTGTTATTTATGTTTCTGATCATCAGAAAAGTAACTTGTCTTAAAGGGGCAAGTTTGATGCCCGTTCTGTCTTAAGTCAGGAGAAATTATGACCAACAGCATTAAAAATTTCCTTAACATATTTCCAGCCTCTTTAATAGTGCTTTGTCTAAGGAGACCTTGAGGAGGAAAAAAGGAGGATGACTGTACAGTTTCACTAAGTGGCAGAAAGGTACGTTGGGAAGTTCAAAGACTTAGAGTTACAGAGTAATGTAGGTTGGCAGTGACAACTTTAGGTCACACAGTTGAACTGCCTACTCAAAGCAGGATCAGGTTTTGCTTCAGGCAAACTTCTAGTTGCATTTTAAATATTTACAAGGATAAAGATTTTGCAGCATCTCTGGGCTACTTGTTCCCATATTTGATCACCCTTACTGCAATTTTTTTTTGTTACTACCTCAGCAAAGTTTCTTTGTGGCAGCATCTGTACACTATTTCTTGTCCTATTCCACTTTATCTCTGAGAGCTCTCACAATGCCTACACTTAGCATACAGATAACAACCACAGGAGAACAAATCAACAACTAAGCTATAATGATTACATGAAGAAATTAAACAGAACTGAAAAAGCACACAAAAAGTCATTTTCTAAAATGTTATTATTTAATCTCAGTTTTATTTCCTGAAAGGAATAGATGTTTACATAGATCTGAATTGCTAATGGATAGTTGTCTCAAGATTATTACTCAGACTGTATGATAGTCTGAGGTGCCACTGCAGGCAGAAAAACAGTTTTGCATCAGGGAATTTTACTTAATTTAGTATGTCAATTTACACAAAGTTTCACTTATTTATTCTGGTATTGAGAAATAAAAGCAAACAAATGAACACTTCAAAGAACAGCATTCAGCTGCCCCTCAGACACCTCTCTTCCCTGCTCTGCACTATCACAAGCCATCTAAATTCCCCCATGTAGTCTTACTATTCAAGAGAATACCCAATGCAGAGAAGTAGCATTTAAGAGCAAAAACTAGGATAAAAATCGAGATGGACAAATGCAAACGTCAAAATCATGCACTGTCTTGAATGCAATGCTTATGCTGTCATCAAAACCTTCCTGGTAAATTCCATATAATATTTGATATTTTACAGCTGACAAAGAACTTTTAACTCCCTGAAAACAAAAGGGAAAGTCGAAATTTCACTTTCAACAGAAAAATAGAAAATATCAGGGAACTAACTCAGGTGTTAAAAGCATCAATGTATTTAACCTACACCAACAAACACTAAACAGTACATGAAAAGCATTTCAAAAAAGTCACCAAAATACAATGAAGTATTGTGCTGACCTTTACTGCACTTAGAATTTAATACGTTCCAGTATGTTTTTAATGCACTAAGTCAAAATTATTAATTTCACTGCAGTATCTCTGTATTAGCAAGACACTAGCATTTCTAAGCAGATACATTAGGTAATCCAACCACACAGCTACACACTCTTCCTGGTTCAGGTAATTCCAGCAAACGGATAATCGTTAAATTTATCTCAGTACAACCATATACACATACTGAAAATAAAAATCACACACAGGCACATAGACATTTGAGCATGGCAACATTTTCTATTCTATATTATTTCTGTTAAAAAAGCATCAGATCAAACCTCTAGCATTAAAGCCAAGTTTTGATTCTATTTCACAGTATATCAAGAATTTAGTTGTATAATTGCCCTACCCCAAACATAAGTAGGAACACAGATGTAACTAAAACAAACTGAAATTCACTTTAGGAGAATATCCTAAATGCTCAATAAATTCTCACTTTTCCCTTCTGAGCAAAATCTGTAAACAAGAAAATTAAATTGTCATCTGGGATCTCCAATACAATATTTAGGAAATTTCTGAGAGGGAAGAGAAATTAATAACCTGTTCGGACAAAAATATTCCAATTTCTTCAAAGTTACTAATCACATGTAGGATAATAATTTAAGAAAGTTTATATAGGTACTGTTCCTTAAGTACTTGATTTGGCAGTCAAAAGTAATATGCTGTTTCATGAGCCAGAATAGTCCTGGCAAGATGCAACTCAAACACTAAGACAAAATATTTTAGTATTAAATGACCATCAAAACATTTTAGAAATTTCTGTAATACCCTTTTCCTCTTCGATTTTACAAACACATTTGTATACACATTTCCTTCAGCAAATGTAGTTTAATCAGTTGACTTTAACAGTATTTTCTATCTGCTATTACAAATGAGCTTGAGATAGCCAAACAAAGAGAATTTTAAAACAGTACATTAACTAAAACTGCATATTCACCGGGGAAAAAAAGATAAGTTGAACTCACTTTGGGTTGCTTTATTAGGTCAACTAAATCCTTTACTTGATGTCGTAGCAGATTTTGACATTTCCACATTTCATTCAATGCTCTAAAAATAGAAAAAAATTAAAAGACTTGTCAAAATTATCTATTCAAGGAGTAACACTGTCCAAAATGAATCTTTACAGTCTTTTCAATTTTAGACTCAGAAATTTACTTATCGCCTGAACTTTCACTGCTGAGTGAGCAAAGGCTAAATATTTCTTAGGATAACATGGAAAATGTACTTGGTCATATTAGACTGAAACAAAGTGAGATTTTGAAACAAGTTTCATTTCAGATGCTTAAGTACACTGCCTTTCAAAGGAAGAGGAAGCAACTAATCTCTGGTCCATTAAGAACTCATTTGTAGAAGCCTGAAATTACTCTTCCAAAAACATAACCAAAAAGAACATTAAAGCAGATGTTGAAGATTTTTATCACGAAAACAAATGTTTTTCTTGTAGACAGGAAGCAGCTACTAGGTGAATAAACTGTGAAAAGTGGACGTGATTAAGCTTGTAAGAGATGCATGAAAGATACTCAGCAGAATAGAAAATTAACACACTTTCCAGGAATAGTAAGCCATATAAATAGAGGTCACAGCCACATTTATAAAACTTACAGAATTCACAAGTAAAAAAATAATTTCTATATAAATAACAAACTACATCTTTAAAATTAGTATTGCTGCATACAAGAACTGTAGAATTCAGAAGTCACTTGTTGCCTGAAATAATAAGTAACTTAAAAGAATCAGTTCTGCATTTTCATTCAGCCTACACTAATTATTACTAGAACAATAACTTTTTCTTTTTAGTATACTGCTAATAATTTTAGTTTGTTATAGGTGTCATACCTTTGGACAGGCAATACAAGAAATTCAGAGGATTCAAATATCAGTTATTGTAGTATTGGAAGGCTTTGAGATCTTTTAAGATATTCATTCATATGCAAAGCCTTTTCTAGTCTCTTTCAGAGGGAAAAAAAAGACCCTCTATTTGATTTTCAAGTGATTGAGTACTACTACATGAAAAACACAGTAAAACTACCTAAAATCAATCCAATTGTGAACTCTACAGCAGTATAACTGTTATTATTAAAATTCACATGCATGTATTAATTTTAAGCTGAAGAAGGCACATAACATAAGAATAATGAAGGAGGAAATACAAATAATTAAGTTCTTCTCAAGAAACCTTGGCTGCTGCAAAAAGTAGTTTATTAATAAAGAAGTTGTCAGGTAAGATTTAGGGCTTATCTATCATATCTGTATTATCTCTTTGTAGATATGAAAGGACTGACATACCCTCAAGCTTCTTTCCAGATCTTTGACACTACTTTTTTTAGCTGTTTATGGTTGAAATGTACTGCATCCTGTTAGAAGACACCCTGTAAGTTTCGGGTTTTTTCAAAATTTCACTTGAAAAATAGATGCTATTTCTACATTCTGTTTTCTAATAGTTTATAAACTATTTCTGTCCACTGACTTAGGCTACTCATAACAATTCAGAGCTACTTTACAATATCATTTGTATTAAAAATTATTTTGCAAGCAGTAAAAAGCAGCACGTACTTCACAGCATTTGAATCCAGTGTTGCGTAAAGGTAATACAAACACTTCATTCGTTCATTTGTTTCCAAGTTATGAGGGACCATGTACTGAGCAAAAATGCGTTCAACAAGTAACCTGAAAGACAGGATTAAGACATTTGAGCTGTGCAGGAAGAACACGGCCTGGAATTGTTGAAACATCAATTCAAAAATTCTCAGCCCTATCTAGACATCAGTTGTTGCATTAAAAAAATGGGGATATTCAAAAACCTAAAGGTCAAATTATTTGACATAACTAAACATAAATTAAACAGAAATTTTTCATTATAGAAAACACAATGTTAATGCTGGCATTAAGAGATTTAACCGATCTCATAACATTATCAAAATCAGATGTATTAACATAGAAGGAACCAAACAATTCAAAGATACTAATTACCAACACAATAAGATGTTATCATTTAATTTCATTACAAGTCAGTATTGGGATAAATGCATGAACTGACCCAAATGAATTGCCCTAAAATAATACTGCTACTAAAAATAATAATGCTTATAAAAAAAGAAATATAATGTTGATTATATCACACAATATCATGAAGCCCAGAAGGAGAATTCAGATAGCAATTAGAAGGAGTTGACTTCCTTCCACCCTTTTCTGGCCCCTTCCCCACAGGCTGAGTTTATCCCATGTCTTTTGCTTTTGCAATATAAATGCAGATATATTCCCAAGGGAATTATTAAAAGCTTCCATGTAACATGAAGCTCCTTATTTGGAAAAAGGAGGAGAGAGAGGTTTGGGCCTGACAGTTACCTAGAAAAGACTGAGAAGAAAATAAAAAAATAGAAACCAAGCCCACATGCTACTCCTAAATACCAAGAAGTCCAAGACTGAGGTCCAATACTCAGATCAGTATTAATAGAATGGAACAAAAGGTAAAAACAATCATATATGTTTATGCCGGAAAAGAAGAAAAAATTCCTTATGCACAGCTGGAGCAGGTGATCAAAACCCAAATCCAGCTAGTTTAGGAAGTTTAAGAAACACGTCAGCGGTTAAGACTGGATTTAAGGATCCAGGCAGTCCATTTCCACAGCACCATAAAATAACTACATGTTTTGAAGGTAACTTTTTGAGGTTTTGCATTTTTGAAAAAACTTGTATGGGTTTGCAATGCCATTTGTATCTAAACACACTGTGAAGGCTCATTTCCAAAGCCAACATGATGACCTTGATTAGTGAAGGCAGAGCTGTTCCCAAACTTTTTATCCACATGCAACCATCTCTTGTTCAATACCAACAACCATATACAATGCTACAGCTGGTATGACAGAGGCACTGCTTTCACTACAAATCCAGAAGGCCCCGATTCACAGCTTCTCTGCTACAGAAACATAAATTTCTGCAGTGATACAGCTTGCCCATTGTCACTACACGTGCTATCTTTAAAACATACAGGAACAACATGCACATCTAAACCAACATTATCCAAGCAAGTTTACCTCTTAAATTTTAACATAAAAATTAACACATTAATGATATGTAAACAAAGATCCCCTCTACTGAAGCAGTGGCAAAGTACACATAAGACTTTTTAAATATTCCAATCTCTCACACCCTTTAGAACCACTTTGGCCTCAAAATAAGAAATAATAAAGTAGATGAAAACAACACAGGTCAACATTTGGCTGCAGCTATATAAGATTATGCACTGAATCAAAACATACAGAATTATCAAGATTCCTCCTTCTCATCAGCAATGGAACACAAAAGAAAAACAATCTTCATAAAAAGTTATAGCACTTCAACACTAAATCACCCAGCTTTTACAATTAACTTACCTGTCATCAATACTGTTTTGATAATATATATGCAGAAGTTTATCTTTGATCCATGATATTTGTTTTGCAGCTTCTTTTCCTGCCTCTGATTGCAATGAGTATTTCTTGTATATCTGTGCAAGTCCCATCATAGCTTCCTTCCTCACTCTCCACTTGACAAAAAGAAATAGCAGCCAGTTTAGCAGTTCTAAACTCAAAATGGTTAAGACTGTAGAATTTTCTGTTAGGTATTTCCTAACAACACCAAAATAACATAATTTAATTTGCAAAAAAGTTAAACTGAGTTCTTAGTGTAACAGTTTCTCATTAGGATGTATGTTGCATCATATTTATTATACTAAACCTTTCAACACCAGTAACTACCATATAAGTATGCCTCTTGAATTTAGTATTATTGCAGGTTTAAGACAACACCCTTTCTCACAGTCCATACTCATTATCTGCATTTCTGTTACGGCTGCAACACGAAAAAGCATGTCACCAAATGAAAAAAAATTAGGTAATAATTTTTAAAGTTTGCCATCAACAAACCTGTTTACTATGCTTTAAGTAACAAACCTCATAAATTTTACCAAATAATGCAATCTATCTAATTTAAAATTCAAGACTATTCGAATTTGGAAGCTACGACCCTGACTTGCAGTCTTTCAATGATCTAATTAAAAGCAGGTAATTTACAATACATGCAATATATTCTGAAACCTGCTTGAAAAATTTCTTAAGAAAAATGCTAGAATGTTTTAAAAGGGTTTTCTTTGACTCAAAGGTTTTACTAGACTAGACAACTGGAACAACATTGCTGTGTTACAGCCAATTTAAATAATTAAAATCATATCACCTTAAATAAAATACAGCACAATGAAAAATGTAGCAGTCTAGTAATGGGAAGAAGGTACCTCACTAAATAGATTTCATCAATGTTTTATGCTTTATATTGGCTTTCATTTGTAATTTAAAATCAGTATAGCATTTTCTAGAAGTGCTAATTTTAAAGAAGGTGAATCTTACAGTTTAGAAGGATAAAACACAGCTCTTAACAATGCTAATTATGTCTTACCCGCTTGTCCAGTGTCCTTTCTCTGACAAAATTTAGCAGGTGATCATTGACAAGCAAAAGATCTTTTTTAGCAGCAGTAACTATGGATACTATAACATCATGCCGTATGGCTTCCTCAGGATCATGTGATCTTACTTTCAGATATTCTGGGGAAAAAATGAGTACGTGTAAGTATACAACTTTTATCCTGTTTGAAGCATCAGCAGTAAGAAGCCAATAGTTTTCTCCAAGACTAACTCGTATGTCAGTAAAACTTCATATTTACTTAGCATATTAAATATGTATATTACTGGCATTATGGAAATAGGAATTACATGGCTACAATTTTTAATTATTTTTTAATTATTTCTAATAGTAGTTACACTATATATACATTAGCAACTATCATAGCCAAGCAGGACTGGAACTGTAGAGTAGAATAGACAGTGCTTGAGAACTTGCTAACCATACCATATGCATTTTAAAGTCTTACATCAAGCTAGGAGCTACTCCCTTGCTGCAGACTCCATCCCCTTTGCCTCCTAGAGTACATTAGTTGCACTCCTGCTCACAACTTCTGTATTATCCACAAGGAATCTAGTTCACCTGCTCCAGGAACACTCAACAGTATGAGCCATATAAGCATTGTAAGCAGGGACAAATCAAGAGATACTTCAAACTATAATGCTTATTTAGACACATCCTAGTTTATCCATCTTAATTTTTCTAGTTTATTCTGGTACACTGTTACTCATTTGCTAACACCAATAATCTTACACTATCAACACCTAAAAACTTCTGCTTTTAGGTGTCAAATCTTTTAGCTACCTATTGTCATTCTAAAAAGCTAGCAAATACAATGGCAAAGGTAATTTATCTTTTTAGGTTATTTTAGAAGCACAAAAGGGTAGGAACACCTAAACAGATCGCAGTTCACTGCATACATCAGTGCAACGCTGAGAGCTTTAAGAAACTTTGCAAATTTATACTTTATTCTGAATGAAATAACCAGACGTTAATATTCTCTCATGACTGTTCAATGAACAGTGAAAATTTTCAACTCTCATCTGAAACAATGGCCATTAACATTACCGGTAATCTACCCAAGTGTCAAAAGACACTTTTCAAAATAATGCTTTGCAGTTACAGAGGCTGTGGAATTCAAAAAAACCTATTGCTTCACAGGAACATAAACTAAAAAAAATGGAAAATAATGCCATTAAACAAAACAATTCTTATCTCCAATACCAGTGAGCCACAGAAAATTTTAAACTATTTCACTTTGATAAGTTCTGGGGAGAGAGAGGAGGGGCAAACAAAATTATATTTCCCAGAGGATACCATTAGAGGAAGCACAAAATCTTCCTCCATTGTAAAAAAAAGATAAATTGAAAATATAAATTACTTTGGATCACAACTGGCCCTTTTGACTCTTCCAGGAGACTTAAAATTGTATTTTAATGTTATAATGAAACTGATACCTGTTAAGTCCTTTGCCAGATCAGGGTGGTTCATAAGGCAGTGACTTGCAAATTTGACACACTCAAGGCGAATAGGTACATGGATATCATTAAACCTAGTTAGAAACAAGACAATGCATTACAACAAAAATTCCACTTCTACCAAAGCAATCTGTTAATTTCCACACAGTATCAAACATTTCTGAAAATGTTTATGCTTCCCATGCATGGCTACATGTATACAGCACCTCAGATTTCACAGTATAAAGTAGACTGTCTTTAGCTTAAAAAAAATTCTCATACTCATTTGTTGATTCATGTTCTGAACACTAAAAGAATTATCTTCTCCTGGTACACCTTAAAAACTCCCAGGCAGACAAAAAACTATTAGAAATATGCATGATATATTTTCATTCCTTTTCTATAATGCTACACATAGTTAACCATAAGCCATGTATCAAAACCTCAAAATTTTACAAGACTGTGACATTCATCCTCTCCTTGTACTGCATGACAGACAACAAACAAATGAACATTTAGTCTACTACAAATTTCTTCTGAGATGGATCATTTAATAGGATTTCCTTTTGGAAGCCCAAACTCCATTTGAAATCTAGTATTTTCTTTTTTTTAATTTTTATATAAGTCAATTTATAACTGTTAATGCAATTAGTTACAGACAACTCTTCCAAAATTAAATGCATTTTCAAGCTATCCTCAAAATCCTGAGTATGAAACAAATTTAAAATGTAATTTTAGAACACCGTTGCTTTTGAAATATTTATCAAATAGATTTTAAGGAATACCTATTTTAGTAAAAGACAGGTATGTTTTCCAAATCAAGAGATTTTTATGAATGCTTTCTTCAAGAACACAGCTATTGTAACTGTGAAAATCTTCAGAAGCACTAAATGCATATATGTGATTCATAACTAGCAGAAAACAGTTATTGTGAACAAACTACACACAATCACATTGTAACACAGCGAAGCATTTTCCTTTGGTCTCAATCAGATGTGATATTTCTTGATGATATTTGATGTTTTAAATACTTATGTATTTTCAAGCAAAATACCTCACTTTTATTAAGTTTCTTCTATTCTTAAAAGCAGCATTTCTTTGAGGACTCTGCTTTTGATGATTGAGTGCTACATTATAAACTATGGCATCTGCAATAAATTTTAGAATTTATCCTCTTTTACTCAAATCAAAAATATTTTCTTTATAGTAGCCAAAATTGAGTTTCTCATGATTATAAGCTCCATCTGTATTTTCTATCACAAACTGGCAGACTATTTCAAAATACAAAAAAACTAAGTATGTGTGCAGCATCATAAATACTAGACACTTTTTTTAAGGTACTCCTACCATTAAAAACAAAATTGAAACTCATACACAAACACTGTACATAAAAGCCTCAAAAGCAATTTTAATACTAAAAATGTCATTTGATGCTGTTTTAAAATTAATCCATCATTGAAGAGTTTCACTTGTGAAGAAATGAAAATATTCGTTTCTCTTGACAATGGCAATAAAGCTTTTAAGAAGATGATTTGTAAACGTTCACTCGACTGGCTACTTAACAGATGTGGAAGATATGTTTTAGCATTATCTGCCAGATCTCAGATAAAGCAGCAGGAGGGAATTCACACTTATCTGTGTCACTTTAAAAAAAAAAAAAAAAAGCAACTGCATTTGACCTCTTTGAATGTTCTCCCTCCCTAGACCGGAAACTAAACCAGAATATACCTCCCCAGATAGCACTGCCAAAGTGGTTTGTTTTGAGATGCCAACTCCGAATCCTTCGCCCCAAACATTTTTGCAAGAAGTTTTACAACCTGCAGACGTTCTTCGTTGTCATTGCTCTGGAAAATGAACAGATTTTACTTAAATTGAAAAGGAAAACTAACCCAAAAAACAGAACTCTGTTTTGTACAGTTTTTACATCAACACACTTACATATTTCTAGAAATATCACAATAGAGATTAATAGATTTCTCTTATATACAAATGTCTATCTCAAGGCAAAAACCCTTCATTATTTTTTTGAAAAGACAAAATAATAAAGACTGAAAATTACGAACAATGTTGAGACAAAAAATGTTGTGAACAAAGCCTGATGAAAAATACATCTTTTTAAGTTATTTACAGTTTACTGACTGTTAGGAAATCTGATATGTGCCTATAAAAATTCAGACACAACACAAAACTTACAGAAGTCAGCCAATGCTTATCTGCACATAAAGGTATACAATTCTGTAGAACAGTATTTAATCGCTCAATTAAAAATATTAGTTGAAAATAGCAGTTTCCAGAATACAAGTTTCTAGAGAGAACATCAGACTAACTATGTAAGATCTGAGATCCAGAGGATGTGGTCCTGTATTTGAGCCTACATTCAAAACTGCTGGGGTACAACAGATAGTCTTCCTTTTATAGTAAAAATGAGCACTAACAATGATAGTGGAATTATACTGGAGAAGGCCTTGTTTTGTCACTGTTTTGCATTACATTCTTTAATACAACACACAGAATGTGAACCTTAATGCACACTTCAGAAATGTATGTTAATATCTGTGCAATTAGCGTGTAACTACTGTTCATCTTTTTTTTTTTTTTTTTCCTTTGCTTATTAGAGAAAAGGGAGAAAACTCAATTGGATGCAACAATTCCTTGAAAAGGGGTAGCTAAAATTAATTTATATTAATTAGACATTATTAATCCCTTATTAGTCCCAGTATTTTTTTCTGGTATAAGATAAGAACTCAGTAAAATATTGGTTTTTTGCTAGCATCTTTGAATTCTTATTAGTTCAGCATCACCTTTTGAACATGAACAAGAAATAAGAGCACAATATAGCTGTCGAAATTCTTTTATATGACACCACAGTTTAGAGACAAACTATTTCTCCTGACTCAATACCATAAAAGGGCTGAAACATTTGCCAACATGTCTTTTTAATTCAGAACCCTAACAACAATAAAAGCATTTGTAAAATCCTTAAAGTAACAGAGTAAGAGAAGTGAAGGATGCAGTAATTTCTAACAGTAATACATTACTACGTTACAAAAGACTAATTCTTTTGAATACACTTTAGTATTAAATACTCAAAGTACTAACAGCAAATCCATTAATATGGTTTTTTGCATTTGATTAATTTTTTTCCAATTAACATTCACATTGACATTACTGAAAGAATTCTACAACCACCTCCTCTTAATCTGCAATAAATGATATTTTTTTCTTAATGAGTTTCAGCCCATTACACTACAAATTCTTATTCTGTGGGGCATGGTTATGAACTTCTAATTTCTTTTTTTGGCCTACATTAATCCAGCCTTTGTGACTTACTTCCTATCCACTCTTGCTTAAATAAAATGCTTAAAATATTAAGCATCTCTGAAATTTTTTAGGAAACCAACACACACTCAGAGCAAGACACACCAGAATGTGGAAGAAGGAGCCAGGTGGAAGAGCTGGGAGCACACTAAACATTCAACTACTTAATTATACAGCCAGAAATATAGAGGAAAGAAACGACAACCAAACAGAACAAAACAAACCCACAAAACAATAAACCCCTAAAATATCCTTAATTAATTATTTGCAGAAGAAGCTTTTACTGTATCAGCCACTAATCCAATTATAAGACAACTCACTTGTGTTTCTAGTCCTGTTGTAGAAACAAGAAATACTTGTGATTATGGATCTTGGTATGTAATTATTTGGTCCTTTCTAAATTTTTTACCCTGATGTTGGCTTCTCTGAAACATGGTTATATACACTCCAAGGGGTAACAAAAATAAACATGTACTTCTAATTGAATGAATACACTGCTGCTACAGTCTCTCTCCTTTACTCTACTTTAATCTCCACTCTTTTTCTGAGGGTGAAAAAAAAGAGCATCAAACTCTGAAAAAAAAAACTTTAATCTTCCTCCATTAATGCCGTGAGACACTCTGTACTTGAAGAGTCGCACCCTTCACCTCCTAAGTACATTCAGCACTAATAGTGTTTCATCATGACTTGCCAATACAAATTGACAGTGAACATGGATATTTTCAGTTCCCCATACATGGTCCCAGCACACAGACAGCTGCTCTTTCTCCTAGACACTTAATTCTGTCAGTAAGAGCAGCTGAAGCCAGTCAGATTGTTACCACTACCAAGTCCAAAAGAATAGGCAGCACTCAGGACCTGGAGAGATCTGGGAATAAGAAGTGGACATGTAACCTGACACTTTTGAAAACTTTAATTACCATATCCAGGAAAAAAGCCAGCTCTAAAATAAGATGTCAACCTTTTGTTAATTTTATTCATTACATCATACTGGTTCAGTAAAACAGTAAGATAAAAGCCTAAACCCCATGACAATTATTTCCAAAACAGTCTATTCATGAGCTTTCTGTTCTCCTAAATATTTAAATGTTATCTGCTTTCTGTAACAGAAATTTCTAAAATTCAAGTATGAAATTTGAAAAAAACTTTCCTTCAGTTTCTTCTACTAGCTGACCTATACAATAATTCATTCTTAGCTCTTTCCTGAGCCCATAGTGCTTCTGTGTCAGTACTAGATCTCTGAACACATCACCTTAAAATGCCAAGATCAAACACAAATGACTGACCCTCACCAAAGAGGCTAAGTTAAATGAATATAGTGCTCATTCTCCTGTTAATCCTCAGACTCCTTTCCATAATCAGGCAAAAAACAAATTACTAGTAAGATGCAACCAGGATTTCACACAGTTCTTACAGAGCTTAACAACAGAGTTCTGCCACATGAGATCACAGGAGCTCTTTCTTTACATAAATCTATAGAGCTAGGGCAGGTTAACCCCAGCCAAAATCACCCAAGTCCCTTCTCTCCAACAGAGAGAGGAAGGGAACAGAAGGAAGGTTAAAAGGCCCATACATCAAGAGAACAGGAGTTCAGTAGGTAAAGAAAAACCTATGTGTACAAGCAGAACAAAAAGAGGAATTCATTCACTACCTGCCATCGGCAGGGAGATGTTCTGGCTGCTCCTGGAAAGCAGGGTCTCACATAGGGCTCACTTGGGAAGACAAACGGCATGAACACAAATTAGTCCTTTCCTTCTCCTTCCCCTGACCTTTTATTGCTGAGCACAGCACCCCTTTCAACCTTCTGCTCTATTCAGCCTATCTGGGGGGAGGAGAAATAGCACAGGGAGAAAGCCTTTACCTGTGCCTTCACTGTTGTACCAAAATGGCAAGGCACTTGAACACTAGGTGGCTACATCGTTTACATCCCAAATAGTGAGTAGGTTCAACAGTATTAGAGGCACCTAAACTTTCTCACCAGTTTCATACTGAGAGTTTTTAACTCCTCTATACATGGTCAAAAATTTGTTTGGTCTCTGATGAGAAAGTCCTTGGATTTTGCCCCTATTCAAAGAGAATCTACAACCTTAAACCCATAAAGATAAACCAGAAGGCTTCCTGACAGAAAGAGCGCAAAAAATTTCATGGAGATGGAGAGCAAGAGATTTGGATCCCGTGAGGTAATGAGTCACAAATTCAAATATTTTTATTTACATCCTCAAACTCCCATCAAGCTACAAATCAACCGGAAGGCAGTGGAGATAGCTCAGTGAAGGTCACCTAGTGGTTAGGGGAAAACCATCATCACTTCATTTTCAAAGCATGCCACAAAACCATAGGATCATAGAGTCATGAAGGTTAGAAAAATAAAATCTTTAAGATCCTTGAGCCCAACAGCGCATCAAGCACCACTCTGTTTACAAAGAAACTATTACATCGACTTCCCTTCTCAAAACTTCCAGAGATAGTAATTCCACCACTTCCCCATGAAGCCTATTCCAATTCTTGACAAGTCTTTAAGTGAAGAAGTTTTTCCTAATACCAAATCTAAGCTTCCCATGGTGCAACTCAAGGCCATTTTCTCTGGTCCTGTCACTTATTACCTGGGAGACCAACCCCCCTACTTTGCTACAACCTGCTTTCAGGTTGTTGTAGAGCGAGTGATAGGATTTCCCTTGAGCCTCCTTATCTCAAGGCTAAATTAAATGTTAGAAGCAAAGAAGTAATATATTACACAGAAAGTCTGTTTCACGTACAGAATATACAACTAGAGGTAATATTGCTGATACCAGGAGGAATTAATTCAAATTCTTGCAGAACTTGCCAATTTTACACCTGAAACCAAGCTTGCATCTCAGCTTTCAAGTTAGCCAGAACACTCGATGTCTTTCTCAGGTAAATCTGCCATGAGTGTACTTCATCTAGCCAAAATTTGTTTTCACTTACTGCTTTTGAAGCCAACTAAAAAGAAATGCATATTTTCAAAAATATAGAGAAATTTATTCAATTTGTCTTTGTAAAGATATTATGTCCTCTTCCGTGTATTCAATGCATGCAAGATTAGATCATTCTGGCACTTCTCCACAACTCAGTTGTTCAGATAATCACAGCTTTCCTTCAACACTGGACACAAGAGGAAAGTTTTTCACCATGAGATCAATCACCCACTGGAATAATCTCCTCAGAGAAATGGTAGATTCCCTGATATAGGACATTTTAAGATCCAGCTAGACAGTGCCGAGCCATTTTGTCTAGACTGTGCTTTTGCCAAGAAAATTTTATCCAGATGATTCCTTGAGGTCCCTTTCAACCTGGATATTCTATGATTCTATGATCATCTGCTAAGGAATAATACAAATCTCCTAAGCAGCAAAGCAGCAATATGAGATCTTGGAAAACACTAACTGTCCCACTACCTCTTAAGCACTACTGGAGTATTTGCCTTCTATTATCACAACTCTGTATTCAAGAGCCATATCAGACAATTTCAAAGAACAAAAACTGGATGTTCATGTGAAACTACATATTTGATCTAACTATACTTACAAACTTTTATTTAAATACCTAGTAGTCTATGGTAAGTGAGCTCACAAGGACAAGGCTCCTTAACTGGGCATATAGAGACACAGTAGTATGTGCCAAATCCAGAAAAGACAAAATCACTGAGCCAAGCTTCGAATGATATGTAGGACTCACTGAAGCTCTTGACTATTGTATTGTTAATTGTAATTGACCTTTATTGAAAAAGACAACTCCACTCTCCCAATTTCCAGTATGGACTGTCATGCATGTTTTTTCCTTTACCAGCCACCTAAACTAAGGCTTCATCAAGCTTAACAGGGTTACTGTGTCTAGTTTCTTTTCATTCAAAGCAATAAAAAATTAGCTGTCTTCAACCATAATCACTCTGAGTTTCATTGAAATCACACTTTCTTCTCAACACACTAATGAGCTATTTACTTGGAACTGAATTTAAAAAATGTTGACACTAGCTGCTGCTGTTCAGAATAAAGCTAAAGCTATTGTTGAAGTGGAAAGTATTTAATCATTGCTGGCAGGTTTGCATGTAGAATGAACTTGTGCTGATCTCAGAAAAAACACAGGTTGACTATATTTCATTAATATTTTAGAACACTTATCTTCAAAATACTCTTCTCACCACAGAAAGATCTTAAAGACTTCTAAACTCATTTAGAGCCATAAAATGATTTGGGCTGGAAGGGATTTTTAAGGACATCCTTCAACCACCCTGCCATGGGCAGGAACACCTTCCACTAGACCAGGCTGCTCAAAGCACCATCCAGGACAGCCTTAAACACTTCCAGAGGTGAAGCACCCACAAGTTCTCAGGGAAACTGGTTCCAGCATCTCAAAATTTAAACCAGGTATATCCTATTCTAAATAGATGTGCTTTTTTCCTTCTTTAGAAGATGAGCAATTTCTTCTTTAGAAGATGGGTAAAGTCAATGGAAAAAAATATGCATATATTATTTTTTCTTATAACAAAGTATCAAAACACATACATGGAGTAACAAATGATTACAGTGCTTTTGGAATAGCTACAAACTATATTAAGTTCAAGAAGACAAGGAATAAGAGTGATAAGAACGTAGGTAACAAAACCCATGTATCTCTTGGAAACATTGTTAAACTTGACCTTGTAGACATCAAATATAAACCACTTACCCTTTAAGGGTTCAGACCACAGTGAGAAAACTACACTAAGGATGAAGGAGACAGAAAACAACAAAATACATGTACATCATCTGAAAAGAGAACACTAAATAAAGAACAGAAATGTAAACATGAAAAAAATGTGTTGTAAACTAAGGACTACAAAGAAAACATGGAAATGCTTAGGGCTGAAATCAGCTAGCTGAAGAAAGAGACCAGATTTTTTTCCGGCCTGAGTAAAGAGGGAACAAAACAAAACAAACACATAAAAAGTTGACATTGGCTACTAGACTGATTCCAATAAACTAAGATTCAAAAATTACATCAGCATTGAAAATCATGAAACATGAATCAATGAAGGAGTAGGACAACAACTGAAAAACCTGCAGATTTTAGTGGACTTACAGATGGGAAAGGTACTGCAATTATATACTATTATGGCAGCAGGTAAGATCAAATATCCTGAATAACACCTTCAGCTGCAGAAGTACTATTTTTATCAGAGTGAAAATGATAATTATTTGCCATGTGTAGGAACAGGAATTAAAGGCTGAAAAAAAGGTCTACTTTGAAGACACAGACAGCAAGCAGTAAATTGAACCCTACTTCTCTTGGAAATGTGAACAGAATGATAAAGGCATTAAAAAAACCCCTCATCCAGCAAGTGTAGCATGCCTGCCTAGCAACATTAGGGAAAAGTAATAGGCATGAACAAGCCACTGTGATAATATATATTACCATAAGAAGAGGCCAAAGGTGCTACAATCCTAAAATCTGTCCTCTGCAATAAAAATATATTCAAACTTACATGACGCCCATTGCCTATCAGCCCTCAAGCTTAGTAACAGATCACATACAGAATAATACTAATCTAATCACAGTCCTCACAGAAACCCTGTGGAATGACAGACAGAATAAAAGTAGTGCCAGGAGAATAAATAAGTGAATTAACTGCTATATTGCACTTGTCCAAGCGATGGAGACACTTTGAAAAGGAAGTCAAAAAGAAAAATACCCATTAAAATAGAGACCTAGCACCAGCTATTCTCCAGACATATGAAACAAGTCTGAAAAATCATAAGTCATTGCAGCAATTACAACAAGACATACTGATACATTCCAGTTGCCTGCTTACATCTGTCACAGAACTACAGTTTGGACAAAATTATTAGTATATATATTCAAAATATGAGGTCTTTCACAATAAGTAATAAGTAAACCCAGAAATAAAGCAGGTCAAGCCCTCAAGTAATCCAAAAAATGTAGTTATTGCTTGAAATATACAAGCAAAACATCTACAAACCAAATCCCAAATATATGCACACATGCACTGTAGGTTAATACACTTGGACTTAAATTACATTTTTGAGGAGTTTTATGGGTTTTCCTTTAAACAATCCAGAGAAGGTAATTTTTACATATAGTTATTTATTTTATTTGCCAAATAATTTGAAGAACTTGTCAGTTAAGGAAAAAAAACAAAACAATAATGGTCAAAACATACATGTTTCACATATATAGAAAGGGTAGAAGTGTTTACCTTAAGTTTGAATTCGAGCTGTGGTAGTACAGAAAGCAAGAGGTGACTGTCAATATTGTATAACTCCAGAATCAAATCAAATACATGCTCTGACAGGTCACTAATTGATGTTTTACCAAGCATAAGAACTTGATTGAAGAACTAGGAAACAAAACAGATTGCACATCAAGAGTGAGAATATACATGCACTCTTCTAAATCCTATGCTAAATCCTAAAACATTAAGTAATTTTTAGTCTTACAACATTAATTTCACTCCTAAAAGAAAAAGGATGGAAGGTAGCACACACAGATCAGAATTCCATAGCAGAAGTCTTGTATCAAGTATTATACATAAAGGAAAACACATTAGACAAGGTGTTTGCCCCAGCAGGCCTAAAAATAATTTAGGACACACAACTTTAAAGGAATTTCAGTGCATCATATCTTTTCATAGTGGGACTATATTCAGAGTTATTCCACTATTGAAAACCGTCATTTCAAAAGTATTCTAACATTTAAAGCAAGGCTGAAACAACTGGCTAATTACTACACTACACAGCTGACAGGTTAAGGAGTTGAAAGTAAAAGCATAGGAGTTGATAACTGATTGTTGCAGAATTCGTATTTACAATCAGCATAATGCAACTGTAAAGCAAATCTTGGTAAACTTGACATACTTGAGGTAAACTTCATGCTTCTCCTTAAAGAAAATATTTCCACACTATTTTCAACTACATCCTCTCAGATGGTAAGAGGCAGCTAAAGAGGAATATATATATTATAGTGCATTTTTCTGTAAGTTAAAGACCATCTTGAAGAAATGTTTTGCTTTTCAGGATACAGAGTTGCCTGAATGTATATAATCCTGGTTAGGAAACTAACTGATACTGTGTTTTTAATGTATCTCAAGAAAGAAAATTTTCAAAACCTCAAAATACCTCTCTTGTGAGAAACAAAGAAAAGACAACTCCATATGTGTTCTTCCTATGAAGGGAGATTCTTATTGTACAGACTTCCTCAAAGCTCAGAAAACTGCACCCAGTTTGTAATCTAACCTTACAAATGAACAAAATTAAAAACATGTGCCTATGCACCAACACCTTGCCAAACAGCAGGTTTGAAGTAAGAGTTTTTATAGAGGATTTTAAAAAATCTTAGGAAGTACCCACTTTCTAAGTGTTACAAGTCTGAAAGTAACAAAAAGCATTGAAAGTTTTCCAGTGTTTTCAAGTTCCTAAGGTTCTGGATAGATGCAGCAAGAACCACTAAATCCTCAACTGCTTAAAAAAGAAGAGAGTTATTCTTTTTCCTATTGTGCAGCTCAAGTTAGAGCATATTCCTCTCTGATCATTACTTCCCCTCATCCATCTTCTATTACAGTGTCTATGATGTCTACATTCAACTTTGCTACAATCCTCAATTCACTCAGTTTTCTTTACTATATATTCTTAGATTGCTTCCTCTTCTGCTGCGTTAACAGCACTAAAATTCTGTTCCATCTTCAATTCTCTTGACTCTAAACAGTCTTATCTCCTCAATAAAAGACATATTCTGCTACAAAACAATGTATTAATGTATTTTTATCATAACAATGTATATAAATACATTTGGTATTCCAGTCACTCTAAGAACTGAATTACAAGGTCTTCCAAGACAGTAGAAAGTAAATTATCCACTGCATTTCCTAAATCTCAAGTATTAAGTACTTAATAGTTTCTATATGGTAAAGAACTAGACTCAAAAGGACAGGTTATGAGGTAATTCATTAATACAATCACTCTCTCAAAGAAAAATGACAATCTATAAAAAGTTCTTGTTCAACCTTTTTCATGCAATTAATTCTTTTTATAACACAGTTCTGTTACAGAAAGTATTGATTTCCAAGTTTGTTTGCAGTCCTCACTTACATTGGTAATGTATGGTTCAATTGCTTGCGCTGTCCTCTTTAGTAAAGCTTTTGCCAAATCATAGGCTTGCTTGTTTAAATTCTGGGGGGAAAACAAACAAACAAAAAAACCAGAAGAGTTATAAGCAAATACATTTACCTTAAAACAAATACAAGAATTCAAAACCATGTGTACTGGTAAATGCATTAAATAAATAGCCTGTTATTTTTATATTTTCAGTGATAAAAATAATATAGTAAAAACAAAGCTATTCCAAACAAAGCTTTGTAGTGTTCACTGGCATTACTGAGAAAAAAAAAAAAAAAAAAAAAAGAAACTCCAGGCAGATGAAGACTTACTTTCAGTTGCGCATCTAAAACTGATGCTCAGGGAACTCAGTGCCCTCATTTTACTGCTCCCCTTTATCAGCTTCTCCAAAAACCAGTAAAGCGGTACAAAGCAACACAAAGGCATTTAGAGTTACCACAGAAATGAGACTGAAGTACAGGAGTACAGAAAATGCAATTCTGCCCTTGCATCAAGCAGCCACCTGTAAATCTCCACCACAGCCTCTCCATCACACTATGCAAAGTTACTCAGTCTGCTGTCAAAGACTGCAAAGGGAAAAAAACCTAGAATTTCATTTTATGGGAAAATAAAAACTAAACTAATAGAAGAAATTTAAAAAACATAACCCCTCTTCAAAATTCCTTTCCTTCCGTTTGTCTAAATGGATTATTGCTCTATCATTGTTTTCTCCCTTTCCCTGCACAGATTCTCCACACTCTAGTTGTTACATCCTTTCTCCAATTTTTGTATCACAATTATTTTTCAAAAATTTTCAGAGGAAAATGCAGCTCAGCCCTTGTGACACTCACTGCAGTTTAACACACAAAAGAATGAAGAAAAAAAGTCTTCAATATATGAGAATATGTAGTATTTTAATAGCTAAAAACTCTACAAAAATATAGTTTCTACAATTTTATTAATCTTTGCAATAAAAAAAAAAAAAAACAACAGTATATTCAGTTTATAATTCAACAGTACAAAAGGGACACTTTGTGGCTGCTTTTTTAAAATATTTCTCACCATAAAAGGAGGAGAACTTCTTGTAGCACAATGAAAAGCATACACAAGATGTCTTGCCACACCCAGGGTATTTCTTTACCTGGATATGCTTGGTTCTTTACAGTTTTCTGACTGAAATTTGCAAAGAAATGGAGAGTACTGTCTGAAATTTTAAAAACCCTATAGAACTATAGGCTTCTAAGCAGCAGTGGGAACAGATTAACATTTTCTGATAATATAAAACAAAAAAAGTCTTTGACTTGCCTACTGATAGAATTAAGTCAGGTGACTGAACTTGAAACACTACAAAGACTTATGCCTGAAGTGTCTGTTTTAGTCACCAATAGAGAAGGTGACTAAAAATTCCAATTCTGGAAAAGTACTTTAATATATGGAATACTTTCATCTTATTACAAAACTGTACAGTTGTTCCATGTCCCAGAAAAGAGAAAACACTGCATGCTGGATTGTTCTTTATGGTCAAAATTTACAAAAGGGGCATTTCCAATGGAATAATTTGTTTTCTGTTATTCAAAATTGTAATGGTTCAGGAAATAAAAAGTACAAATGACTATAACAAGCAACGTACACCACTTGCAATTCTTGTTCTGATCGTTCTTGACTTCACAGTTCACCTCCAGCGACACAAAGAAAACCACTTTCACCTAGATAAGAGGGAACTCTGGATCATGAGCAAGATCTGGTTTAGTATAAAACAAGTCTAAACAGCAGAGCTAGCACAGGAGAGTTCCAACAGGCAGATCTCTTCTGATTCACATTAATTACAGTTTCAGCTTTTATCTTTTGCACAGCAGTTCACTTCAAAGCTTAACGCTTTCCAAGATAAATGCTACAAGTGGCTATTTGCAACCCTGTGTAAGAAGTAAGTGTAATGCAAACACCTATCTAAAAAATCTCTAAAGGGGAAAAATAGTCTAGAGCACAAGTGGCTAAGGAAAGTTAGCTATTTTTTCATGCCTCATGTACTGATTTAATAGTGCCAATAGTCATGACCCTTAAATGTCCAGAGGCCCCACTTTCTGAAAATAACAATTTCAAAGAAGTCTTAAAAGAACATGAGTTTTCTCCTCATTTTCCAGTTTCAGGGGAAAAAAAAGCAGAAACAAGCAAAAGTGGCACTGCCTAAGGTTAAAGGAAAACAAGAGCAGCCCAGCCTTTACCAAGTAGGTTCAAAGATCTTTTACAGAACCAAACCTTCTGATTAATTCAACAGACATAAAAATATCCTAAACTTCCTTCTCCTTAAGGAGAAATTTTAAAAGGATAACATCTAACTTGACAAATTTCTTCTCTGTTTTTAGGTAAGCTCTACTAGCATTATTATCTGTACAACCTTTCTACATGCTTGGAAAGACAATTGACGTGTATTTCAAGATCTTTTAATGATTTAAGAAAGCCCTCATGATGGGGACAGTCTTAATCAGGATGCCTTTAGCAGCGTGTAAGCATCCAGTAGGCCTAAGGTTTTTAGAGTCCTGAACAGGGTAGGAACAAAGCCATCAGTTGGTAACACTGTTTAAAATAATTAGCAATTACTACACCTTGAAAGAGAAAAACAAAATAAATACTGATTAATAAGCAGAAACCAAAGAACCACTCCTGAGAAGGCAGAACACAAATCTTCTGCAAGAAAACTGAGGTTACGTTTAACATCTGAACCAGACTTTTCCCCCAAAAACTTCCAGTTTTATTTCAGAAAAGAAGGTTAATAAACAGTGGAGAACATTTACATTTTTTAAAACCTTGGGAGACCTCCAGCAATAATACCTGAATAGAGGCTATCTTGGTCAACAACAAGGTCTCTCCTTTGTCTCAATTTCTACCATGATTTTTAGGCATTTCTTGCTGGTATTTCAAGGTTTTTATACTTTGGGAAAACATTAACGGTTTTGTCAACTCATTTTTCATACCTGCTTTTCTCTAGAATGACAAAGTCGGTTTTTTTTGACAGAAGAAGCAGTGTTAACCTCTCTGACAGTATGGCACACACATTTTTGCGCTTATACAGACAATATTCTCCAGCAGAATATGCCACAGAGTCAAAATTATTTGTTCTTGTACAAGAGGGTCAGAAGTGATGGAAATTCATACAGTCAATTCAATTGACTTTTTCTCAATTACTTTTTTTCCAGCTACCTCTCAATAACCAATTTAACACAGATCAAAAAAAAAAAAAATAAGAGTGAAATAATTTTTACCCACTCCTTAAAAGAAAAAGAAAAAAAAGGCAAGTGCCTTATATTTTGTTTACAAGGAGATGACTAAAAGTAGCATCAATCCAGCCTTAATTTTGTAGTTTTGGGAGGAAATCAAATGCTAAATCTGCATCTAATGCAAATAATCCTGAAAAGCTTATTTTTTTACATATTATTTACTTTGAATTTGAAAAGCATCTTCAGCTATTGTTATTATCAACGGCACAGCAGCCAAATTAGTATCCAAGAGCACCTGACAGAACAGTTTCAAGAGATTCTCTTGTTCTCCTTGGGAAGGTAAACAGATTAAGGACAGCTGACAAAGAAAAAGCTCAGCTGAGGTGTTGCCAAGATAACACTAAATATTAAGCAAATTCCTAGTAGAGACAGTTAAGAATTTAATTGTCAATATCACTTTTTCTAAAACATAGGCATTTAAAGCACATGGGATGTGCAATGTAGGATTCCCTGTAACAATCTTGAGGTAGAAAATGGAACATTGGCAAACACCCAAGGAAATCAAGTACAATTTGCCTTCTAACACACTGCACAAACACAAAATTGTTTGCAGGTCTGCCATAAAAGCATTATAATACAAAAATATCATTAAAGGGGAAATGAAAACTATTAATTTTTCTTGTCTTTTCATACTAACTGTCTCTTCCCTTGCTTTTAGGCTTATCTGGGTTTAGGTCACTTAAATTCAAAAGTGGAGTTGATAGAAAAGAAGAGAAACTACAAAAGGAAAGAATAATTCAGCATCAAAATTAAAGAGTTAAGCACATGGTCACACAAGTTAAGCTTGCCATTTTATTGGCTTATCTGACAGCTGTACTAGTCAAGCAAGCCTGTGCACACTTCAGCATGCCTCTCTTCTGATATTGGTGCCAGCTGCTTTCATTCAGATTTACATCGGTATGGCTTTTATCCTGACCAAGTGAGATGGATGATGAACTAGAGCAGTTCAGAGTTGTTCACTTCAGTGACTACTAATTATGGTATACAGACATTGGATAATATATCATGTGCCCAGTATATACTCTTTATACCTGAGATTTTGTAGCCATCCTGTGAGCACCACTGCTTTTTATACTTACCACTCAGGACTATGGACCATATCTACTTTTCATCTTTGGGAAAATACAGTCCTGGTTTAAGGGGTAACAGTATTGAATTAACCTTTTGTAAACTGCTCAACTAATTACTACAGCTCTTAAAAATATTAATGTAATTTTTGCATAAAGCTGTCTAATGTTGAATTTCAGCCACCGGATGAACCTCCTAAGATCCAACACATACATGTGTTCCCAACACATACTTACAGACCACAGGTCAGATAAATTATACAGACTGAGATTTGAAAAGCTCAGTCTTGTTTTACCAATACAACTCTTTTCTATGATGCAGCCATTCAGTTCACAAAGCCTCTAAAAATTCACTCTCATACACAACCGTCCTTTTGGGCATATTAAAAATACATCACTTGCCTGTGTCAATTTCTATAGACACAATTGTCTTATCTTCAACAATCTCTCAATCTGATAATCTTCAAACTGAGCTAGTAGCAGATCTATGTTCCTTCCACTCTGTCAAAGATATTTTTTGGTCCCTAGGAAATCTGGGGATTCCCTACAGATCATTACAACAATGTCTGCCCTTATGCCATTTTTGGTGACCAGTCTTATCATTCAACTTTCCCTTTCCACAGCCCACACAGCTGAACAGTGAGGTCAGCCAAGACACAGTTCTTTTTTATGGTGGACCTTATCCTTTATCTCCTTCTAGTTTTGTGTTCAATGGAAGAGTGGAAAAATTCTCAACTCTGAATTTATTATACTTTTCCAGCTTGACATCAGCAGCCAAAGAAACCAGTTATAGGACACAAATTTTAAATAATTTTAAATAAAAATTCACTATGTGAAGATTTTGAGATGAAACAGAAAAATATTAGAAGCTCCTTTCCACTAGTATGGAAAAAAATAAAGGTAAACATATTCAGAATACAGTCTGACATTATGTATCTACTTCAGTTAAAAAGCAGGCTATAAATAAACATCCTAGCCATAGAAAGACTTAGATTGAAAGAAAAGCAGCAGAAAATGCAAACCTCAAATATATTTCCCTTATTAAAATACTCAGTCAGTAATTTTAAGTCCACTATGAAACAGAATTGTTCTAGTGCTGCTAATTCTTCAACTCAAAGTCAGTTTATTAAACATGAAACATAAAAACAGCATAGTCAAATCAATTGGAACACAGATGATACAAGGAAACAACAGATTCTTAATAAGACAGATTCTTAACTGAGGAAAAAAAACTTAAGTATTTTGCATATTCTTGCTTTTGTTTTTTTGTATTCCAAAGCTTTACTTCATAAATCTGGATTTTAGCTACATAAATTTCAGTCTAGTCCTGGTATACAAGTATAAACTCCTTGAAGGACACAGCTAAAACATTTGCAGTGGTGGAAAAAAAATTACTAACCTATACTAAGCATCTAGTCTTTCACTATCTATAGAAAATAATTTATGTGTTATTTATTCATTGAATTAATGACTAGTAGTAATGGCACACTAGTAGGCATTCCAAAGCATCTCTCTGTTAATAACCACTTAACCTTACACTTTTTAGAAACTACAGCAGTTAACACCTTCCTGAACACATTAAAAAAAAAAAAAAAAAAGCTACTAGAATTGTCCAAAATACAGCTAAAGATACATTTCCCAGATAATTTCCCACAGTCTTTTTTTTTGTCATGCACAACTTACAAGTGAGTAGCCCGTGAGATTTCAGTAGGAGACAGATTCCTGAACTAAGGAGTCAGACTTCCATGATTTTTAAACATTTAAGTATCGCAACACATGCACAGTTCTGAAGTTTTTCCTTTAGTTCATCTATAGGAGACTTTTTTTTAAAATATGACATTGTTCATTAAGGTAAGACAACCATTCCTTGGGCTCCTCCTGAACCACCATTTCTGCACAGTTTTAATTCTATGGCTGCATCACAAACAGAACACCACCAAGCCAACATTTCTGAAATACAACAGAGCCAATCACAAATCAGCAGTCGTAATTACTTTTTCCATCCCACTCAGGGCAGCACCTTAGTTTGAACTGTTGATACAGGATTACATGAATGAAAAACTTTCCAAAGGATGTTTGTCACTTCTCTATTCCATTCTACCAGCATTGATGGGACATAAGAAAATTCTGTTTAAATTCATATGACATTCAGCCTTTTAGATTACTGTGACCACTGATACCTCGCTTATGGAAAGTATATCAGAGCAATGAAACTAGACTGTGTTTTCTGTCTATTAAAATTACTTGTTTGCTAAAAGAAATACAGATAATACAAAAACATTTGTTACAGCCATTCTCTCAATTAGAGCTACATATCTGAACACATACATCCAAGAAATCATGATTACAAAAAAAAACTGTAGAACAAAACAAAACATAAGCCACTAAGTCTTACCTTATGTGCTGGCACTAGATTAACTAACACTGTATCCAAGAGTTCCTGTGACACAGTATCTCCCTCACAAATGATAGAGCTCATTAGATCAACCATGTGCATATGTACTTTTTGGTTATGACCGTTGCTGAAATTAAAAACAAGAATTCTTAGTGTAATATCAATGTAAAGTAAAACTTCTGTTCCTAGTACTGCCTGTGGTGATGGCAAACAACAAGGAATAAAATCAGCAAATCACAAGTTTTCTTAGAAATCAAAATACTTTGAGTCTTTGATTGCATGTCATCGTCATTCTTAAATTTCATGCTCTCCTCATTCACTACTGCAGTAAGACTGTATCTGTCCCTACCATGAAAAGACAGTGTATTAGAGCACCCCTCTGCTCTGCCCAGCACTGGAGAGACTTGCTCTGGAGTGCTGTGTCCAGTTCTGGGCTTCCCAGCACAAAAGGGACATACACATCCTGGACTCAGTCCAGCAAAGGTTCATAATGATGATTAAGGGTCTAGAGCTGCTCTCATGGAAGGAGGGACAGAGAGCTGACATCTCTTTTTTAGCCTTGAGAAGAGATGGCTTAGGAAAGAACTTACTGACAAGTTTAAATACCTGATGTTGAGAGTAGAGAAGACAGGGCAAGACTGTCTTGACACCACACACTCAGTGGTGTCCAGTCACAGAACAAGACGCAGTGGGCACAGGGTGAAATACCAGACATACCATTCAGACAAAATAAACGTTTTAAATAAAAGGGTGATTGAGCGCTAGAAGGTTGCCCAAAGACAGCACAGACTTTCCATCCTTGGAAATGCCCAAAATCTAACTGGCTACAGTTCTGGGCAATCTGCTCAAGCTGACCTGGTTTGAGCAAAGGGAAAAGACTAGACTACCTCTAGCAGTACCTTCCAGTGTCCACTACTTTCTGACTCATGTTTTCGCAGCAATAATCCTCCAAATTCCTTAGAATTGCATATTACACCATTCAATTTCAAGAATAGAATAAAATAAATGCAGTAAATGACAATTAAATCTAAGTTTCTTAGAAAAAAAAGATGATGCGCACTGTGTCTTAATTCATTAAAACAGAAAAAACTGCTACCTTTAGTTAAACTGAATTACAAAACTCAATGCTAAAAGTTAGAACTCACTGACCTCAATCATGCAACAATATACTGTGAAATTTGGGGTGAAAATACTTACTTTATTACTGAAAACAGTGTTCTATACAGCTGTGTAAAAATCTCATTGCTGTCTTCTAATTCAAAACATATGTTATAAGACTTGACCCAAGCAATGTTCTGTGTTGGAACAAGAAAAAATAAAAGAGTAGTTAACACAAGATAAAACTGAAAGATTATGTTTAACGATTATTATGAAATATATGAAGCTTACCTCAAGCAAATAAAAGTATCGATTAAACTGGGGGCTTTTTGTATCTTCTAAACCTTTAAGTTGCCTTGTTATGAACATAAATATATCCTGAAAAGAAAGAAGTGCTAGTTATTCAATCAACTGCAATTAAATTTTCCAAATTAAATAATCACCCTTTAAAGTTACTTGTATTATTTAATCACTACAAAATATGCAGCAATGACAGACATTATTTCACTATCAAAAGAAAATCATCTTCAAAAACATCATGGAAAATGTCAAGGAGCAATTTAAAAATATTTCCTATTTCTTTAAAGGGTTGAGAAAGTAACCTTTTCCAAAGAAAAGCATTCAACTTGACAAACACAGCTGCAACTGTCTGGCTGCAGAAGTCAAGGAATTATTATTCAGCAGGACAATGAATTTAATATTTTTACTTTTACAATCAGTTTAAAAAAAAAGGGGAAAATAGCAGTAGGCAACTACATCTTTCCTAAGAGATGTTATTATATGTTCACCCTATATTGTTTGTGCATTTCTCAGTCATCAAGATACTGACACAGATAACTCTTGCAAAAACTAATAAACCAAGTTCTTCCTGCTTCCTCTATCAACTTTCACCACCAGAAGACTCCTTTAGAAAAAGTCTCACTCAGAGTAAATTGAAGCAGGTTACAAGGAACGAACAGTCAATTAGGATTTAAATAGAAACATACAGGAAGGTATCTTTTAATTTTTTTTTATATTCAGATAATTAACAGCTGGAAATTCACAACTACAACTATATTAATCTGATACAACTATACTAAATAACAATATTTAGAAATAAGTATCACCAGAAACACTTTTCACAGCCTCAACTACATCTATGTTTCATCTAATAACTCAGGTGTAAATCATATAAATTCCAAAAGGTATAAAGTTGCCATAATACAATAGAGCCCTACTGTTAATCCTGAAATCTATCCTAGAAATAGTTATAAGGCATTTCTGTAACACTTTCAAAATGACCAATTCCCCTAAGTCCCCCAAGAATAATACACAGACAAAAGACAAGAATATGGTTTCTTTTTTTCCAACACTATAACCACAAAATCCAGCCTTAATCATTAAGCTGAGCACTTACTGTGGATCTAGGTAAAATCAAGAATGAGATTACATGTGATATTGCCAACTCTTGGCAAAACAGCACAGCAAACACAATGCTCAGAGCTACAGCTACGTTAATGTTTGAATTTGGTTTTAATTTTGAAGGATCACTGTCTGGTTCACACTTCACATCCTTTATAGAGCACACAACCTAGACCCTTTAGCTAAAATTAAATCAAAAGACACATCTAATGGTCTCCAACCACTCTGAAGCATTCCGTTCCCATGCAAAAGCCCATCTGAAGAATCCCTCCTTTAAAAATTAGTGTATGAACACTAGCAGGCCATCAGTCCCCACTCAAAATGAAAGCTGTCTTATGGAAAACACTGGAAGGTTCTGAAAAGTTTAGAAGACATACAAACTGAGTCTCAGGGAAGAATAAGAATGTACTGAAGAAGAAAGGGGGCACATGGCAGACTGACCAATGCCAAACATAAAAACTACTTAATCTTAGAACCCATGCTCTGTGTTAATTATTTCTGTTAAACTTTACCTGTAGAGGTAAATCTCAATCAGTTCATTTAACCCAGTATCTCAGTTTTTACCCTACAGGCCAGCATACAATATTTGCCTACTTAATGTGATTCAAAGACCCTACTAATTTCCCAAAAGAAAGTTCTCATGACTGTGCTGTATATAACTACTAACATTAATGAACAGAATATATGTACAGTAAGTCCAACAACTGAATGTTTCAAATAACAGCATGGTTTGAAAAAGTAAGCATTTACTCCTAAACTATTTTTAATTTTTAAAGAAAGCAAGACAAACTAAACTCAGAAGTACTCACTAATTTTTAGTATCTCAATTACTATGACCATATTGTACTATGACAAATATTTTTCCTTTTTTAAGCACACATAACATACTACTTGAACATGCATTTATAAATTCAAAATACAGGCTAAAATAAACTTTTGCTGCAGCCAAAAAATTGCAATAATTTCACAACTGGATAATAGGTTTTCGCATGAGACTGCATAAAACAAGTCTACATTAGAATCCAGATTTTAAAAACAAAAGTGCTCACACTTCAACTTTAGGGATTTTTTTTTTTGTGGATTGCTGTCTTGATGCCAACTACATAATGGCTTTAGTAATCATCAGAGCCATGGCTCTCACCAGAGAACACCTTCACACAACTGAAGTTCTGCTACCATATACCCTTTTTAAGATCTACATTTCAGCAGAGACAGGCACACAGTCCTTCTGTTCAAGTAATTTCCAATGGACACATACAAATGATTAGATTATCTTCCCACCAAAAAATTAAATTTGGGCTCTAGGCTTCACGTGGACTGAGGAGGGCTCAAAGTCCAAAGTTTCAAGATCCCAGAAGAGCAAACCTACTTTAGCTCTATTTTTCTTCTACTCATGGCATTTTTAATCCCTGTTATCAATGCTCTTTTCAGTGATCAGCAAAGAATGTAAGATTTACGCTGATGATACAAATGAAAGAGGGAAACCTGAGATTCTTATCCCTTTCCTCAGCATCTCACTTGCACAATATGTAAGTTACAAAGAGATCCACTGAGTCTGAAGCAAGGGCAAAAACTTAAGATTTAAGTCTTGTCCTCTCCAGAAATCAAGCCTTTTCAGCACTCCCCTTTGCCATTTTTAACTTTGGTGTTAAACATACAAGAATAGACTCAGCTGCAGTATGGATTTGAAATTAAATACTGGGTAAAAATACTGCCAAGGTATAACCCAAGAGGAAGCATTCTTCCTCTTACCTCTGTCATAAAGTGGAGGGAACTCTTCGACATTTCTATCAGAGCTTGTCCTGCAACCACAAAAGCTGATTTCAGAGGAAATGGGTTTGCAAAAAACCTACCCCAGCAGCCCTAGGCAAAGGTCCCTATTGTTTAGCTTTTCTTTATTTCTCAAAATCTGTTTAGAAAACTGCATCAAGAAACTGAGTTCTGAAATCCACACAGATTACAGAACTCAATGCTAGCAGTGGAAGTCCCTCATCCATTCCAAGTTCTGTCCAAGCAGTGGTTGTAGTATACTGATACTTCAGGTATGAGATTGGAAGACTGTAAACCTTCCAATATCGTACACTACGAAATCTGAAGCTTAGTAGCATTTGGGAGATCAAAAACTCTAAGGAAGAGCTTAGCCCAACTCAGAAAAAGAAATTAAAGCTCTTAGTCTAACAAGCAAATGAAAACATATACTCAAAACTGAAATACAACCAGACTTAAATACAGCACAGTAGAGAAAGCTAGTATTATCTCCAGTTGAAGACGGTGCAGTCAATAAGTACAGGAAGTAGATGTTGTACCTCTGATTACACACAAATTCAGAATTAAGAAAACAGAACTAAGAAAAATCCCTAGATATCTCTCCAGTTTGACTGTTAACAAAAGATGTACTAAGGCAGTTGAAACTGCCCTGTTTCCCTAATTAGGAAGCACTGCTGGTGCAACCACTAGATGAGAAATTGAGCGATTTTTCTCTTAAGTGATAATAGATAGATCATCCACCACAACCATCCTACTGTGGAATAAACAAAGACCAAACTAAACAAAAAAGACCACACACACTAAATCAGAGACAAAAAAAGCACACATTTTTCAGTGTCACTTTCACCTGTCTTTTTGTAAATTTACCCCGAAACTCAGTTCGCCACTCTAGATTCTGACTGCGCTAGAGAAACAGTTCAATTTTGATAGCTGGGAACTAAGTTAGATTTCTACTTTAAAACGTAAAAGAACCCACTAAATAATATAAAATTTATTTATTTCTGGAACAAATTAGTCAGATCTGTACTTCCTTTTCAAACCTGACATTTCTCTATCAACCATCTCCATCTAGTGGGATCAGTGATGTTTGTAAATGCAGAATTTTCCAAGTCACATCAAATATCATTTAACTCTGTACAAAAGTACTTTATCTTTGTTTCAATAGAACCTTTATCTATAACTATACAAGTACCCGCCTCTTGGTAGTTTAATTGGAGATCCATGGGTATTTTCCCAAGTGAAGGTATTAGCTATCTTGCAAGAGATTGTGATAAAAGCTATAATAATCAATATTTCTAAAGTAAAGTAACCTGCAAATCCCAAAAACAGTTCAATAAAATAATTATTTTCAATACAAATTCAAAACTCTGCAAGTTATTAGAATATGTACGGTTTAGCCCTTTATGTCATGGACAATTGACTTGACCAATCACATTGAAAAATCAAGTGAAAACTTTGAACTGTTTTGGCTGAACCAGAAATAAAAGGAGGGAAAAAGCAGTTATTATTACATTAATCACTGAGTGTAAAAACCACATGCGGAAAAAGAGATTAATTTTATTTACCTTCAGTTTATCCGGTGAAGTGTATGGAGCTTCAGGGGCATAAATTCTGAAAATATCAGCAAGACAACATGCTACCAACAAACGTACATCCTTATCAGGATGTTTGAGGAAAAAATCTGAAGCAAGATGTAAAGCAAGATTTAGGTAGAGCTCCTTTTCTTCTTCAGAGTCCTGGTCCATATCCATGAAAGTTTTCACAACCATCTAAATAGACAGACACACATTAGCACATAAAACAAAATACTTTGTGTAACAGAATCCTTACTAAAAGTTTCTTTCTGGTTTAGTGCAACTTCTATCAGAAGCATTATTAGCTATGCAGTAGTACTTACTTGAGTAACCTGTGTTCTCATTTTTCAGGGCATAGGAAAGACCTGGCCAAGTCCTCTATTAACTGTCCCAGCACACAGTCTCAGCAGAAATACTGAAAGCCTAGTTGGATACTTCAAAAATCTTTTTGAAAAACCATGTAATCAAGTTGGACAATTGAAGAAGTACAACAGCATTCACCATTATAGTCACTCACTTAAAAATTCAGAAAATGGCAAAACTTTATTAAAAAAAAATTTATTTCTCCCTCAACTATTCAGTGATGATTTTTTTCCCTCCTATTCTCTTTCAGTTTCAGGGTTTTGTCTATTACTGCTCTGAGGAAAATTCTACTCCCTGTGCTGTCCAGAAGCAGAACTCACACTTTCAGCAAATGCATATATAAATCCAGGCAGTTCCACAGCATGGATGTTGTCCAACAAGACTAAAATGATCACTAGGATTATTAGGATCCAGTTACTGAAGTTATGGAAGAAAAAAAGAGTCTGGGACACCAAATATTTAATATGCTGAATTAAAAAAAAAGCAGGAAAAGCTATATTTAATAACTGTTAGTTGGTGAGAATTCTTATATTTTTCTGAAGGAGAGAAATTTATTGACAAAACAAATTCCTTATCTATCTCACAGAGGCAGAGTTATTTTAAGGCATTCAGCTCTTGTAAAATTAACAAAATTATACTAAAGACTTATTTACACAATCCTGAGAATTAAAGCCAAAACTCCCATCTATTTCCTCAGTGCAGGAAGAGATATTATTCAAAGAATAATAATGTCAAGTCCTAGAATCCTATAACACTGCAAAATACTTTATTTTGCTGCAGTTTGTTGTTTGGTTGGGATTTCCCCCCCCCTCCAAAAAATTTACTGTAACTGGTCAGGGAGCAAGAAGCCCAACTGAAAAAAAATAACCCTAAACTTCTGCATAATTAGGATCACAGAAGCTGTGAAGTTTTCAAACATATGAGAATTCTTTACAAAAAGACACAGAAGATCAGCAGCTTGTGCAGACACAACTTCCATTACAAGAAAAATAAAGTCCTTCCCAGTCAGGCACAGATGAACCATCTGAAGTGCACTGGTGCCCTTACACACTAATTAATTTACAAGTCAGAACTGTTTTCATTTCCATGAAAAGTAGACTTTTCATACTTCTTGCAACTAGTATGGTTTTTTTCTACTCTGGAAATGAACCTTTCATGTTTTTTCCCTGATAACATGAACATCTGTACAAGTCACGACAACAAAGATCAGTCATCCTGTCTGCAGAGCAATCCATCACAGTGTTTAAAGAAAAACAATGAAAAACAGGCTAGTTGTCCTAGCATAGATTTCCAGGTTCCTGCAAAGCAATAAGTTAGAAGACTCCAGAGCCTGAAATCACACCCACCACAATTTATACTCCTGGAGCTTCAGCTTCCAGATGTGGCACGTATTTCTTAACCCATTCAATTTTTACTACATCATTCCACAGAAACAAGCTTTGGAATTTATTTGTATAAAACTGACAGAAAAGTGTATTATTAGACTGCTGGTCTAAAATTAATATTTCATTAGATGATGTCTTGTTTCTTGTGTATTAAAAGAAACTGTGGAAAAATGCTTTTCTCATGCTATCCATCATTTCCAAGAGTTGATCACCTTCTTTATGTCTTCAGTGCTAGTTCACAACTGTCATCATTTAGTTTCTATCTCATTTCCAAATCTATTATAAACTTCAAGAGGCCATCAATTCAAAATGCATCAAATGTCCAATGTAAGTTATGCTAATACAGAAATTCACTCTGCATACTTTCCATTTTTTTCTCAGATTTCTCCATAATTTGCATTTATATTAATATTTCATTATTAACAAACAGCAGAATGTCTGCTTGTGCACAGAAAAGTGCTTTTTCCTTAATAATTGCATGAATTTGTCAGTCAGAGAAATCAAGAGGCTAATAGTTCACTTACAGTTCAACTACTGTTCTTTAGCACCTGCAACTGTGTTTATACTAAAGTTCTGTACACTTCTGGTGTAGCATGAATCATCCAACCTCTTATAGAAGAAATACTGCAACTTTTTCCCTGCTTGAGCATCAATCAATTCACAGCCAGAATAAACAACTAACAAGAAACACAAGACAACTTACAAAGTCCTCTTATTCTGCAAGACAGATAAAGATGACAGAAGGGACTCGATATTCAAGACCAGAAATTAAATTAAGCTTCAGGAAAAAAAAGTATTAGTAAGAACTGTGGTGCTTCATTTCCACAAGCTGAAAAAAATATGCAAGTGCTAAAAAAGAATTCCTTCTCTTAGGAATCATTCACATGTAAAGTTATAAATGTTGCCTTTTATTCAGCATCATAGAATGCAAAATACTCACTAAAGTCCATCAACCAAAATCCCAAAGCCTAGAGAGGTTACTGGGGGAAGACAAGAAGCAACCCTTGTGTTTTGGGATTTTATTGGTTTGTGTTCATTTATCCGTCATTCCAACTGACTTAAAACTACTTCTTCAGAAAATTCCAAATTTAGCCCTTCCATCTGTTAAAATACTTAAGGTTCCTCTCCCACATCTGTTCCCTCCTGTTTCACAGGGCAAGCCCAAGCTATAGGCATTCCTTCTGCACAATACAGAATGAATTTTGTGAGAGCACACAGGTAGATACAGAATCGTAGTAAAAACTTAGCATCCAAATCTGTCCAACTTTCCTGTATGGTTAGGCCAAATAAAATGGTCAAGAAATTCAAGACAGAAATACATCAAAGACTGGATGTATAGTCAAAGTATATAGACTAAAGTATAACAAAAACTACCTTCATCATGACACAGGCTAAAACAATGAAAATAAAGGTTTTTATAAACAAAATAAAGAGCACGAAGGCATAAAAGGAATGTATTGAGAGGTATCCAAATTATTTCCAAAATTATTACTCTCTTTTAGAGAGGAAAATACTAGAAAACAATCAAAGTACTGACTTAGCATAGTAGCTGAAACAAAATTTAAGTAGCATTTTAAATTAATGCAGCTCATTTCTATTTGTGATTTTTAAATGCATTTAAACCTTTCTTGAACAAGTCATTTCAAGAAAGTGGTAGAAGAGAAGGCTCAAGAGCAAAGAAGTTTCTCCTATGCACAGGAAAGGTAAAGCCCAAAGGGAAAAAAAACCCTTCCAGATATAAAATACAGTAATAGGGTTACTAAATATCTTTTACAAGAAACTTTAATCTGCAAGCAATTAGTTGCTTACTAACCTTTAACCTTCTCACCATCTCTTCTTTAGATATTTTATCAGATATTTCTTTGACTCCTGGAGGATATGTGATTTTTCCATCATTGGCTCTCGTCTTCGAATGAGCCATGATTTCACGGTTTTAAAACTGTGGAAAGAAATTAAGAAGACAATGTTGTTTAACTAGTTCATGCTTAACCATATCTGTCCCACTTTGACAAACAAAATCCAACTAGAAATATACAACAAACCCATACAAACATAAAAAAAGACAAAATATTTGGACTGGTTTCAGTAATCTATATTGTGGGACACAGCTACAGTTTTCATATCCAGGTAGATCGTCCTATGAAACAAAGCTTTCAAGAAGTATACATCAGAAAAAAGCTAAACTCCTCATTTCAGAATGTCATTGATCTTCACACTAACAAAGATGCAACCAAGAAACTTACTGTACTGCATGATCTGCTTCCACCTCTTGGTAATAAAAGATCCTAGCTAGCTTGGGTGTTCAGACATCTGAAGTGGACTTCGTGTTCATTTTTACTCTTTTGGAAAATGCAACTTTCCAAAAAGCCTAAACACCAGTGCTGTTAATTGTTACACACCACCAGATGTAACTCCCCAATACTGCCAGACAAGTATCAGATAGGGAATGAAATTTGAGACAGAAACAGAGCAGACCAAGTACAAGTCTTTCCTCTATGCCATTAAAGCCACATTTTCAAGTGAAAGACTGCAGATAAGCAATCTCCTTCCTAAATTCCAGCTAGGAACACAACTCAGTTACTTGGTTTCTCAGTCCCTTTAAACTGATGCATATGAAATCTACCATGTAATCCAGTCTAACTCATACAGAGTTTCATTGCTTTACAGAAGGAAGCTGAACTGAAACCTTTACTTACATAAAAGCAATCAATACAAAAGGCAGTGAAAAAATCTAGATGGCATGTGTGGGAACAATCAGGATCTTAGAAAAAGACTGTACTAGGGCAGTTACAAATGAAGAATGTAACAAAAGAACCAAATTTCTTTGTCATTGTCTTGATATTTTTAGTTATTTAGTTAAAAGTATGATCCACTTCTAGCAGTCATGACTGTTCTGAACTGTGAATCCCAAGTATTGGGATTTGCATTCTTCAGTTCATATTTCATTAAAACAACCAAAGTTACAAATTTTGTTTCATCTTCACCTAATCTTTTACGAAACAAAAAGTAAATATTGGCTTTTAATTTTATTTTTTTTTTTGCAAAGAAGACATGCAGCACAACCCATTTTATTTTTGTAAATAGGGAGAACATGAATAGAATGAACATAATCAGATGTAATTCAACAGGTATGACAAGCAACGGACTTCAACAGATACACGAAAGTCAACTCAGTTTCTGTCATCTTCTCTGCACCTACATGCACCCAGCAGTGGAACAGTGCCACATCTTGCAGTTGTAGTAAAAACTGACAATGACAAAGCTGGGAGGAAACAAAGCTCATTGAAGTAACTTTTTCTAATACTAAAATATGATGCCATTTTAACCCCGTTATAGTTCTTTAATGAACTGCCATGACAAGTCCATGTCAAATCTAGGACTCCTCAAAAGCACACAGAAATTGTAATGAAGTTCACTCTTCTTGCCATTTGACATACATATTACACTCTACCTTTCAGATGGGATGATCTTATATATTATACCTAAATTCATTCTAACAGCTCATCACAGCAGAAGGGAGCCTTGCTTGCCTGAATCTGAGAATGTATAAAAGCATCAGATACTTTGATGGGCCAATCAAACTCACCAACTCAAAAAACAAGCCACATTGTTTTTGAAAAGCGTGTGACAAGCATCAAAGCTAACTCAAGGGAAAGAACAGGAACTAAGGGAACTGGGGAACAAAACTCCATTTTCCAGTGGTGGATAGCTGTCAGATCAGATCAAATGTAGTGGAAACTTGATTAAAACATGATGATGTAGCCCCATTTGGAGCACATTTTGAAATAATTCAAAGACTGAAACTTATACATTACAGTAAAGTTCAACTGTGCAGCCAGTATGCCCAATGGCCCTGCAACCAAGCTTTCAAGCTTCAGTGGTATCCAAGGTCTGGAGGAAACTGAAAATCTGTTTTGTGATTATGTGGCAAGGTTTTGGTAGTGGGGGAGGCTGAAGGCATGGCCCCTGTGGGAAGAGACAGGGGGCTTCTCCTATATCAAACAGAGCCATATCCAGACAGCTCCAAAATAGACTCAGACCTTGTCAAAGTTGAGCCATCAGTGATGCTGGCAGTGCCTTCTCTGATAACGTATTTAAGAACTGACAAAAAATGCTGCACAGCAGTTACTAGGAAGAAAAGTGAGGAAAACATGAAACAACCTGCAGCCACCAAAGTTAGTGAAGAATGAAAGCAATCTTGACCAATGAGCTTTTTTGTCTTATTTCCTTCCCCATTCCATTAAGAAAGAAGAGAGAGCAGCAGTGTTAGTACCTAACAGCCAGCCAAGGTTACAGACAGGGATGTACACAGCTTATCCCTCTCAGAAGTACAGAAAAAAAAAAAATAAATAGGACTTCACTGCCTAAAGAATTAATACACCTAGTCTTACAAGGTCAAAAATAATTCTAAAAAGGTTCTAAGAAATAGAACATACAGGAGACGGAATAATAAACCTTCTAATACTGAGAGAAACAAAAACCATTCAAAAGAAACAGCCGAAAACAAAACCTATCATTCAAAAAAAAAAAAAAATTCAATGCTAAGCAATTCCCTTGTACAACAGTTATAACTTCAACAATTACCTAAGTAAAACTTCATTACATTCCACTGCTTGAAGTTCCCCTTCTTCCAGACTGCCAATATAGCTGTGCATACCTAGCTTTATCAAAATAATCTGTGTTGAAAACTTAGTAGAAGCCACAATTTTATTTGGGGGTGAGGTGGGGAGGGTGTTTTGATGATTCTAACCAAATGCAAATCTCTGATTTCACGTTAGATACATCAGCTGTTCCAGTGAACTTCTGTCATGGAAAAAGAAGACAGTAACAGCTAAAAACAACAGCCTCAAGGCCAACTGTATGTACAATATGTTGAAAACAAAAATCTGTAAGTCAGTGATGTGATATTCAATGACTGAATTTCAAAAAGCTTTTAAAATTCATTTTTATAGATTCAGTGTATAGCAAAAGAAAACAGTCTAAGATGACAAGCATTTTGAAAGAAGGAAATTCTTTGAAAGCATCTTTGAGAATCAACAGACTCAGCTGACAGTTTCTATTACTTTTTTTAACAAATGAAATTTCAGAAGTTCTCCACCATGTTTTCAAAAATCCAGCATTATTCCATGTACACCATAAGAAGGGAAAGAGCTCAAGTCCTACAAGAAGAGGGTGGGGGAGCTGTGGATGTTTAGCTTGGAGAAGAGGAGATTCAGGGGGGAACTTACTGCTCTCAAAAACTCAAAAACTACCTGAAAAAAGGTGTGGTAATGTGGGGATTGGTCTTTTCTCCCAGGTAATCTATGACAACACAAGGGGAAATGGCCTCAAGTGACACTAGGGAAGGTTTAGATTGACATTAGGACAAATTTCTTCACCAGAAGAGTGGTCAGACATTGAAACAGGCTTCCCAGGGAAGTTACAGAATCACCATCCCTTGCAGTGTTTAAAAGGTATGTGGATGTAACACTTGGGGACATGGTTTAGTGGTTCTGGGTTAACAGTTGGACTCAATCTTAGAGGCCTTTTCCAACCTTAATGACCCTATGAAAAAGGAAAATGTTCACATGGATGCCTTTTTTAAGGCAAGAAAACACTTCAGGTCATGAAATGCCTTGCACCATGCAGAATCCCTGCACATAAACGAAACTTTAAGACATGCCCTGTTTCTGCTGTTGTATGAGGATAAAGAAGGGAGACAGCTGTCACAAGAAACTTTAACAAGTATATAACAAATTCCAGTTCTAACAAGTAGGAATAAAAATCATGATACAATCAGGCTTTAGATTTTCAGTTATGTTAAACAGTACCATAAGTTAAATCTTCAAAAACTATGAAGAAAATAAATATACTTTAAGCTAATAGAATATTTAAAATACAAACCCTACTCTTTGTACACACAGAGATGATACAGTAAGACTTAAGATGTCTAGGAACTGCTTATTTCAACACAGAAGCAGCACTGCAATTGTAATTTCTCAGAGACCTAACGTCAGGAACCAAGAGCAAGTCTGTAGAAGTATATTGAAAAATAGTATGTATAAAATAGCATGACAAATTAAAAACTAAGTTATAAGGGAGTTGAGGTGGAAGAAACTAGTACAGAGAAAAGAAATAAAGATGACAAAACATATACCCTTTGTACAATGACAACAGGAAAACTAAAGCAGAAAAAAACCCAAAAGTGGAAGTTACATTTATTGTGCATTATATTAGGCTGGATTAAAAAGTCATTAATCTCTTGTGATAAAAATCAAAAGATCATATTTAATGTAAAATTATGACTATCAGCCAGACCACAAATGGGAACAATCAATTAATCTGAACAGATTTAATTAGTAATATCACTGCCAAAATTTGGTCAAGCTCAAATAAATAAATTACACATCAGTTCTGTACATAATCAGTAGCATCCAACAGCTACTCAGCTCCAGCTAAGTCTACAGGCCATTATATTACTAAAACATTCAGATGTTTTCTATATAGTAGATACCTTTACGAATAGCTTAACTTCACATATACTACTTGCTCAATACTTTAAAATACAGACTGCAATTATACAAATAAAACATGGACCGATATCTTGCATATTAAGTATCTATGCAAATATACTTCATAGGTCAGTAAATATTATCAGAGCATGTTAAGTCAATGATCTAACTGGAGGACTTAAACCACACTCCATTTAATTCTATTTTGTTTGGTTGACAGTTTACATTGCCTATGGTGATTTAATTAACTGTGCTAACCATTAAACAAACTGTGCCTCAACACACATGAAGATGTCATGTGTCAGCAGTGACTTTGTAGAAGTCTATACTTGTGTTTAAATCCTCATCCTCCAGATAGTTTTGTAGAAGCCTCACCCAAGTGATGAAGCAAACTTCAGCAAAGTAACCCTATATTCCTCACAAGTCTGTCTCCTGCCTTACTATCACT